GTGTCCCAAAATAAAAAGATTGAATGTAACACATTTTCGTAAATTATGATTCAGGCAAGGCAAGGGTCTCGTTTAAAAATAATGTATATTAAAAAGTTTCAAAAGCATTGCTATGATTCAAGGAGTGATCTAAATCCTCTTAATTTAGATTTAAGTTCACTGATCTAGCCAGTAAAATTGTTGATCTGAAAACTTACCGTTCAAAATTTTAAACATCATAAGTAATTGACCCCCAAAGCTTCAGTGGATGAAAATTGATTGTTTGAAAATGTAAAATAAGCATGCCCATTATATCAATGAATCATCTACGACGAGTAAGTCTATGATATTTAAAAAAATAACTTTACGATTCTAGAAATGTGTTTAGTTTAGAGAGAACAGCTTTATATAAAGCTTTATAGACATATCACCTTTTAAGAAAAGATCTTTCCACTTATTAAAAAGCTTCGAATAAAAAAACTGCATGAAAAATTCATCAATGAAAAAATCTCACAATTCGGTCATTAGTTTTTAGAGAGGAATGAGAATATAAATATATAATCAGAGACATCGTACATCTCAACCGGTTGCTGCTTATCAAAAAAAAAAATTCTTCTTTCATATTTTTCTAAATTAAATTGTTCTAAATGGAATTTTAATGGATATAAATTGTGTGTGCCGACACAAGCTAGAATCAGACTTATTGGGTTTTTGTTTATGATTATATGATTAGAAAAAATATAATAGTTACCAAAAATGGACTCCATGGGAATTCATCTTGGGACTCTGTCTCATTTATTTCATTCTTCCAGACTGAGTGCCGTTAAAAAATTCCAGGTGTATTTGGGTGATATTTAAAAAATGCCAAAAGTCTTGTTTTTAATTGACTAATTAGATAAGAAAATTAATTTTTTTGCAGGGCTGTGGTTGAAACAGAGGAGGGTTAAGGGTTTTAAAAAATCTACGACATAAAAACTTATATAATATAAATCTAAAATAAACCATTAGTTTTAAAGATTTTATAAATGTTTAAATCCCTTTAAATGTTTATTATTTCCTCGTTCAATAAACTAAAAAAGAACATAAAAAGTGTCTTAAAATAGTTTTTATATCACATTTCATAGATAAATTAGAATGATATCACCAATGACATTGACGATCATAGATTTTGCCTTTCAAAAATCTTGCAATGATAATATGAATATTAATAAAATAAGAATTAAAATCGTCGATTCATAAAGAAATACTTGATTCTCCCCGTACCAGTTCCAGTCTGATATCATCTTGTATTAATCAATTAATGGAGATAATTAGTCAAACTGATACGTGAAAGATTTCGCGATATCTTTCACGTTCCTAGAATGCTAATCAGAAAAAGTCGCATTTATTAAAAGAAAAGAAACAAAAACTAGTTAAACATCTGGTCTTTGCAGTCGTTATATAAGTTCAAACACGTGAATACATAAAACTCTTCTTAATTAAATAATCCAGAAAATCCTCATGGAACACATTTTAAACAGTATCGTGACTTGTGACAAACAATTTCATTCGCTTTGTAAAGACAATAAAATATTTTGGCAATAAGCATATTATGTGTTATCAAAACCCAACCCATCTCGTTTACCCAAAAAATCCCTGGGATAAAAACACATTATGAATTCTTCCACAATATAAAAAAAGAAGTAAAAAGAGAGTCGGCAATACAAAAAAAACTTATCAAACAATAAAAAGCCTGTTTTAATCCCTATATACATTGTATATAAACGTGAGCTGCGCTTGAATCAGCAGATTCACATGTAAGCTTTGTATTTCAATTTAATATGATTTCAATTAGAATTTGGTATTAAATGAATTCATCAACAAACAGTGTTGGTAGCCTGGATTATTTGGTGCTATGTAAACTTTAAGATCTATTGAGAATTGAACATGCTTTCTTAAAAAATGTGAAAATTTAAAATTGAGAACTTACTCAACATCTACTCCCAAATGCATAAAATTTAATCGATACTATTCAAATAGATTGTAATTACTTAAATGACAACCCTGCCAACAAGTTGTAAGAGTTGTTAAGTTGTTCTCGCAAATTTTCAGGTGATTTTTTAGGATTAAGTGCCTTTTGATATATTGCCGTATGAGTCAAAGAAAATGTTGTTTTCTCCCAATTCCTTGCCTTTCAAGAATCAAATAAATCATTTGACAAAAGAGCTGTGAAGAATGTACGTCATCTGTATGAATCCATCAAGAAAAGTAAACAAGGAATTATTAGGAAATTTACATGTAAGTAAGTTCATTCATTTTTTTACGTAGCAAATTTTTACGACTGTTTATATTTTTTAATAGTAAAAACGTGCGATAAGTTGTTTGTATGAATATTGATTTTTTTATTCATTTCCAACAAACACTTCTTTTGCTGCTGCTTTGAATCTTCTCTATGCATAGTCTTATAATTAGTTATTTAACAATTTCAATCAAAACTACCTTGAAAATTGAAGTTAAAAAAGTGAGAATCTACGAAGTGAACATATAATGAATCAAAATCATCATTAAAGCTTATTTACATACTTATTACGATTAGTTATAATCTAAGCTTGAAATCTGTTTTCTCTTTTAGAAGTCTTTTTTAAAGGACAGAAATGCCAAAAATGAAATTTCTGATTCAATAAAATACACTGGTCGATAAATCAATGAGCTTCCTTTTTTAGCCAGTAGTGCTTAGTCTTTTTGTCACGATTCTGTTGACGTGCTATTGAACAAGGTGTAAATTTTGACTGTATAGCCTTGTAAATAAAGCGTGAAGAAGAGTTTGGATTAAAAGCTTTAAAACCTTTTTATGAGGTAGCATTGATCAAGAATAACTTGAACTTTCACATTTGATGGCTATTGTTTTAGTTGGCAGTAAACTTTATAATGTAAAGTTAAACAGATCTATCGGTTAACATTAGTATACTAAGTTATATATTTCAAATTGAGATTTAATGTTTTCATCGCGCTTTGTCAGGATATGAAGCGTAGCAAATCTAAGTTCAAAACCCCCGCATTCCTTAGTACTATTTGTACGTTAGATGACTGTAGATTAGGATATATTATTCATCAACAAAAGGTTACAATATCATAATAAGTTATTAGACAATTTAAAAGTTTTTACCTATAAGTTCTAAAATAAGCTCAAAATTTAAAAATTTAGAAAAAACCCGAATAACATTGAAGAAGGTCAAGAAACTCATGCTGGAATCTGCACGTAGTCACACGTGGAAACTCAAAATAAAGATATATTATTACTCACTCGATTTATCAAATTTCAGATTTTTTTCCTCAATATTCAGCATATAGAACTTAAATAGCATGAAGCCAAAGAAAATGATAGAAGCTTAAATAGCATGAAGACAGAAAATTTATGATCTATTATAAAATAAAAATCAGTAAAAACTATGAACGGATTAAATGAAGTCAAGAGTTTTATGAATGAAAAATATTTTTTTTCCTTGGCTAAAATTCGCCACCTGAAAATGAAGAACCTCTCTTACTGCTTTTTAAATAAATAAGAATCTCGAGTCTTCTTGTCTATTTAACGATATAAACAAAAAAAAATTTTTGAGAATAAGATTCAAAACTCCAAATTTATCATTATGACATGGCCTATTCTTATTTATTGGGTATCAAGTTTTTTTTAATTTTATTTCTATGCTGCTCACGAGAATGACTCATTCAATATTTACATATTGTTTCCAGCGTCTTCAGTTTCACCTCAATCAGTAGACAAATTGTCGGCAATGAGCATTAAATGGTAAACAGCAACAGCAACAACATATTGAATGATATTTTGTATCTTACGAGAGAGCAGAAAACGCGTGTGGAAACCGAAAAGATGTGCTAATAAAATTTTATATACAGTCATCGTTTTAATCTCTCTCTTGTTTCATTTTATTAATTTATTCAGCTGGGATCATTCCCCAAAAGAATCATTTTACCAAAATAAAGAGAAGAAGAATGCGAAACATCTAAAGATACAAATTTATTATGTCCTCACGTTTGCATGATTTTAAGACTCTTGTGTGATTATTAAGAAATTTAAATGATAAATTAACAAGTTTTAGTCTTTTGCTATTAGCCGCTAAGAACGACTTTATGTCTGTGCATTTTCAATTCTAAGATACCTATATTGTAAATGTGGTGAGAAAAGAATGAACTTTTGTGCGTCATTTGCGTATTTTGAATTGATGAGTCTTAAGCAAATCTTGAAAATCTTTAAGTGTGTTTAGTATAGCATCGACCAAATCAAATATTTTTCAAAATTTCTCCAAGAAATATTGCAAAAATTTATGGACTGTGACACACTTTGTATCGTCTTCTTTGGTTAAACATGCTTAATAGAGGATAGAATTAATTTAACTTTTTCTTTAAGTTCCCATGGATGCAGAAATTCATCAAAATGAACAGATTTTGAAAACTTGCCAAATTTAGATCATTATAAAATAATCCCTTAAGCTTCCATTTAGTGCCTTCTTTTAGCTATTTATGAAGTTTTAAAAACACTTAAGATAACTCAAGCATTATTTATGTATCTAAATGGATTCATAGTCTATCCAAATATTAACCTAAGCTTTACCACCCACAATGAATTTAAATGTTCAAGAACTAAAGATTAGATACTTGCCTATCAAAAAAAAAAAAATAAAAACTTCATGACTTTGTAAGCATTAATCAAATTAAATAGAATTAGCACGTCAAGAAAGTTTCTGTGAAATTGAAAGTATTCTTGGAAATTTATCAAAAATAAAATTTGTTGATCAGACAACACAGATAGGCACAATTGACGCAACAGCGTAGATTTGTATATTCGGTATGCATGATAAGTAGTGATTAATTTTGTTTCAATGAAACTCATTGAAAAGCTTGAGAACTCGAGATGCACAAAAAAATATTATTAGGGATTTAAGAATCAATCTAATTGATGCATCTGATTATCATCTTTCATAGCCAAACTTCCTATTGTATAGGAATAAAATTACATCTATATAAAAGCGCATTGCAAATTGTGTTATATCAATAGTATATTTTTAGTGTTCAATCTAGTAATAAGAAAAATAAACTTTAAGCTTAAGAGAAATATTTCGCATTGAGTGTGTTTGAGGATTAAAAAGATTAACATGGATCGGAGGCTGCTGTTCACAATTGGCGCCTTATTGGTCCTTGTTTGCAGTTCTTTTGCAAATGAAGAAAACTATTGTGATCCATCACTGTAAATAATTATACTGCAACTGAATAAATATCCGAATAAATATTGATACACAAATATTTTGCAGATGTGACGATGGACTGATTCACACAGCATGCGACCATTATTTGGAATTCGCACAAGATTGTGGCGAAGATCCTGAATTTGTTCAACTTACTGCGCTACAGAAGCGATTAATTTTAGATTTACATAATGTCCATAGAAATAAAATTGCGGCTGGGAAACTTCCAGGATATGCACCAGCAAGTCGAATGCCGATTTTAAAGTTTAACGAAGACCTGGCTTATGTAGCAGGTAGGTTTTTAAATTTGACGGAGCCCACTCAGAGCTAAATTAAACCTTCTCTAGGTCTCCACGCTAGATCATGCACGACTGATAATGACAACTGTAGAAACACCAAAAACTTCAGAAATGTTGGTCAAAATATTGGACTTGATATGATTGGAGAGCCTGTGCACAATGTAACAGCTGTAATCAAGCACATTATTGAAGCATGGTGAGAAATATGATATGTTGGTGCTAAATTCAGTTTTCAATTTTTCTGTTGCTTTGCTTCCAAATCAGAAGTATTTCTTTTCCTAAGTCATGAATGTGATACCTTGCTTCTCATATTGTATCTTTGTAGCAACAGATAGTCTATTTACATATTTTAAAGGGCGTAAAGGGTGTCAAACCTAATTTATTTCCCAAAACTTTAACTTACATTCCATCTTACAGGCACAATGAATATAAACACGGCAACCAGCTGAGCGTTAAAAATTTGAGCGAAGAGACTGCGTAAGCCAAAATTTTACGTTTATTACCCAAAAAAAAAATCCTCTCAATTTTAATTCTTTCTTATTATTCCAGAGCTTCAATGGGACGTTTCACAATGATGGTCAATGACTTATCAAGCGATATTGGATGCGCATTAGTGAAGTTTTTCAAAGACGATCTCTTCAATGTCTACTTTACATGCAATTACAGCTCAAATAATCGTTTAAATCAACGTGTTTATGAGACAGGTCCGCCATGTTCAAATTGCAAGACTGGATGTCATAGAGTTTACAATGCACTCTGTTCACCAGAAGAGAAGATCAATCCTAATCATCAACATGTTGAAAATATTCAAAGTTTTAATTAGGTCATGAGTTTCTGACCTGATCCTATATATTTTTATTGAAGTGCCTTTCCTCTATTTCTAATCAATCCTTTATCAATGACAGCCCTTGGCTTACGAAAAATGGACTAATTCGATGTAAATGTTACCGAAAGAGAATTCATAGTTTATCCTTGTCAAAATATAAATTTGCAAATAAAGTTTACACACAATGTGAGCATTGACATCTTTTGGTTTTAATTCTGTAGCGCTGTACAGTTAGTGATCATATCAGAGCGTCAATAATATTTATATTTGAGAAGAAGATTTGAAAGATTTTACTGTAAATTTCGAGTTTATTGTTTGCTTGGCAAGAAGTTTGCTGTTAAGTCGTAAATCATATAAATTTACAAATGTGCGAAAATGTTCTGACTTTTCTTTCTGCAAAAATTACATCAGCTTAGATGAGATCTTCATCTAAATTTCAACGAAACTGGAATTTTTTGGATGACATAGGCATGTTGTATGTTTGGTGTTTATCACCTCTTTTCTTTGCTAGAGTGTTCCTGTTTATTCCAAATATCTCACTGTGGTCAAATTGAAAATAGTCAAACAATTTGATAATAATTTGTAATAAGCTATACAAAACTGAGCCTTATTATCAATATTTTATTAATAGAGCGCGCCGGTGAGTCAACAATCTAATCTTTTACCTGTTTATCGCATTAAAAAGTTCGCACGTTTTATACGTTCATATTTTAAAATGAGATAATGCTTGAAAAAATTTGCATAGATTGATAATAATCATGACTCATAATTTCGACGATTATCAGAGATCAAAAAATATTTCGATCCCAAAAATTGACATCGTATTTGAAGACATTTAACTCTATAAGAATTTGATCATTAGAATAGTGATTACAATCAATTATTCGTGCTCCTCTGTTTGTATAAAAAAAAATTGAATGTGATTCATCGGACGATTTTTGTCTAGACGATATAGAGTTGGCAAATAAAAGAATATCAAACACAAAAAGTTCATTTTGCCCGTATATAAAAATATTAATCTTTATTCCTATCAGTTTCTCATAATTATGAATGTCATAAAGTAAATACACATAAATTTAGGTCATTGAGTAAATATGATTGTCTTTAAATGCCTTCAATTAGTTTCGAATGAACGCCCATCAGTCCCTAAATGAATGGAAAAATTTAAAATAAATTTTAAAGCTTTGCAAAATTCCTGTAAAAATCACATCAAAAAATACAAAACACGGCATTCAAATTATAAAAAAAAAATTTATATGTTATATTTGCGTCCAAAATAAGATAAAATAAAAGTATTATGGATGGAATACAATAAATGCAGTACGTTTAAAAAAATACAAATTTTTAAAAAATATTCGAATATGAAAAAAGTCATGCTTGAATGAACGCAACACTTATGCTTCAATCATTTTGCTGTGAACGGCACTCAAAGCCTTTATTGGGGAAGAGGTTTATCACACATAGGATTTATATTTGTACGACAAGCAGTGGGATTCATGAAAATAAATGCAAATGAAAAAGTTAAAAACAAAAATTAGAAAAAAAAAAAAATGTTAAATCTATTCAAAACATCAGTTTAATATGAGAATCATCAAAATTTTAGCACAAATAATTTTAGGCATTCCGCAAAAACGTGACTGATAAAAATACATGCATGCATTTGTAAATCAATATCTTGATACACTCAAAAATAAATTTATGTAGATTATTTTCCATGATAATAAATTTTAAGTTACAAACATGCAATTAATAAATTAAGTATGCTGTGTTAATCAAGGTTTAGACTTCAGATATTCAAATTGATTAGTTTATGAATTTGATTTTAAATTTCAGTCAATAAACGTTCATCCCCTAACGAGACTTACTTGCAAATTGCTAGTCTTTCTATTCTACAACTTTTACTGTTAGTAAATTGCACTTGCTATTTAATTGCAAATTACTAGCAAATTACCATGTGAAATGTTTGATCAAATCTGCTTCGAATCTTACGAAAAATCATCAAAAAAAAATTTTTTTGCGTCATAAAAAATTTTGTTCTAAATTTGGAATTTTCCATATACTTTACAAGAGCATGCTTAATATTTTTTAATTTTTTTCATATTTGCTAGTAAATTACTAGTTAAATTGTAAGCGAATTGACTAGTCAATTGGCAAGCGAAAATGCGGGTCTTTGGCGAAGATTTAAACTTGGATTATGACTAGTAAATAGCAAGTAGCAAATGGAAAGTTATCGAGTAAATTACTAGTAAACTTCTGCTAGGGATCGTATTAAACAGTTTTTTTCGAGAAGGTTTAAAATTTTATCTTATTATTTGTGTTAATTAAGTCATAAATCTTTATGACTCATCTAATCAGTCAAATGTAAGTATATCGATCAAATAACATCCTCTGTCCAAAAAGTCATAATATTTACAATGCGCAAACTACATAACGAAAATCCATGCGTCATACCATCAAAACAAAATTAAAACCTTACCTTAAAATATTTCACAGTTTTAACTCTCAACTCAAGCGTGGCATCTTCATCACATATGAAGAGAGTTGCTGGATGCATCTATAATAAAGAATTTTCACAGGTAATTTCAATTTTTCACAACAATTCAGTTTATATCTCTTTATAGAGTGCAATTCAAATCATTACCTGAAATGCACTAACAGTCCACATATGATTCACACCATCTTCAATTGCTTTATACAAAGCAAAACTCTTGTGTGCTCCGGTAATGAGAATCATTACTTCTTTTGCGTCCATAACAGTCCCAACACCAACAGTTAATGCCGACTGTGGAACTTTTGAAATGTCATTGTTAAAGAATCGAGCATTTGCTTCCAATGTGTCTTGTGCTAAAGTCTTGACACGAGTACGGCTTGTTAAGGATGAACCTGGTTCATTAAACGCAATATGACCATCAGGGCCAATTCCACCAATGAAAAGCTCAATACCACCAGCTTCCTTGATTTTTTCTTCAAAAAGGTTGCATTCAGCAACTAAGTCTTCTGCATTACCGTCGAGAATGTGAACTAGAAAAATAGATATACCTAATAGACATACTAGAAACAGATAGTTGTTGTACTTACCATTCTCGGGAACGATATCAATATGCTTAAAAAATTCATTCCACATATAATAATGATAGCTCTCTGGATGGTCTCGTGGCAAACCTAAGAAGAAAATTTGCAGCAACAAAAAAGTTCAACGAACCTTATACCCCAAAAAAAAAAACTACACCAATACTTACCAACATATTCATCCATATTAAAAGTTTTAACATATTTAAATGAAATTCTTCCTGCTTTGTGGAATTCAATTAGTTTCTTGTACATTGCCAATGGAGTGCTTCCAGTTGGCAATCCCAGAACAAAATATTTATCCGGGCCAGGCTTGAAGTCATTGATTCTCTTCATAACATATTTTGCCGACCATTCTCCAACGGTAGCACTATTTTGTAAAATTACGAGACGCATTTTGTGTTAACTAAAAATCAGACAAACAATAACATTATCAATCAATAAAAGCGAATCCTAACAGACAAAGAGCATGCTCTTGATCAAGAGTACGGTTGAGAATACGCTTTTTTAACATCCTCTCAAGATCCCCGTAAAGAGCATGTTCAATAGCGGACTCAATCATCCTCTAATTATAAATAACTTGCATGCAAGTTTTTCCTTCATTATCTTTTTTATACTCTCAAGAGCATGATCAGAAGAGTTTATAAAAAGCATGATCATTGACATCCTCATGAGATTATGCTCAAATTTTTCTTGCTTTATACTTCACAAGAGAAAGCAGAAATCACTTTTATAAGTAATCCCGAGTGGACAAAGTACTAGTTAAAAGCTTGCAATTGACTTGCCTGTTCATGGCGAGTAAGTATCCATTGACGTGCCTTTGCAACTAGACTTAGGGACGACTAATGACATATTTTGCGCTTTCCATTTAACTGGACACAGGAATTGCAAATATGTCTAGTTAATGTCCAGTTACAATAAAATAGAAATAAAATAAATAACACGTGTCTTTTTCTCCATTTTTTTTTCTTTTGTAAAATTTTATTATTGTATTAGTGTAATTAATTAATTAAAGTACACTAACACTTATGAAAAATCTCTAGTAAAAATTGAGTCTCGAACACTTGCGCGTGAAACATTTATATTTACTTAAAAGTTTCATACAAATTTTGGGAGGCCTTATATAAGTGATTTCTGCAAGCGCTTGTGAAGTATATGGTCAAAAAAGTAAGGAAAATTATTTTTGAGTTTCGAACACTTGATTGATTAGCATGAATGTCCAGTTAAAGTCTAGTAAACGTCTAGTTCTTTATGTCGTATAAATTTGGGCAAGTTAAAAGACTGTTAAATGATTGTCCAATAATGGACTTTAACTGGCTGTGTCCACCCGGGAATTATTTTGGAATTTGTAAAGTTTAAATATGTCTTTTCGCCATTTGACATATTACAACACAGCGTACTCGGGTTCGAATCACGGCAATCACCAAAAAAGAAGAAAAATAATCAATTTCTCAAAAACATGATCAAGAGCATAATCACAAGCTCATAAAATTTTTTAAATAGTAAAATTAAAGCATTATCAGCAAAACATGTTCTTGATCATGATTTCAAGTTTGACTTGCATGAATAATTTACAAGTAAAAGCGTACTCTTGAGAGCGTGATTTCTGTGGTACCCTGCTGCGATCTCCATTTGTATGGGAGAGTACGCTAATTTAGCGTCATCGAATTAAAAAATTGATTTTTAAAAATCATGCTCAGATCGTGCTCTTTGTCTGTTAGGGGAATGCCTGAGAACCGGATAAAATGTAAATAAAAAGTTCATCGACCGAAAAATGTGACCTTCATTAACACAAGTTATCACTCAAACTCATATTTTGGCTCAAATTAAAGCACTTGATTAATCATTAACTTACAGTTATGATAATAGCTTGTGAATGTGGTTTTCTAATTTTATCGGTTGGCTTTTTAATCACCGCAATTCAATGGTTTAGAAAAATGTCCGATAAGCCGTAATCAAAAAATGCAAAACTTGAAATAACTTGATTGAAATTTTGGAAGATTTAAGTTTTCTTCTTGTTTATTAATTATAATGCATATTTATAAATGTTTAAATTGAAATATTTAATTGATAAAAATATATTTTACTTACTTCTTGTCCTTCGACGAAAACTGACGATACTACTGAGAGACAAAAGAAATAATGACTTTCAATGATTACTGATTGCTTAATGTCGACTGATCCATGCAAAAATTGCACAATCTTGTTTACGTTTGAATTCTCTTATTCCCTTCTGATAATCTTTAGTAAATCCTTTATTACCATGAGTATGATTATTAATCAGTCCTTGCTTGCGAATAACAAGTAACTTGTCATTATAATAAGTGCTTTAAGCTTCTTTTCATTAACGTTGGATTAAATTTTGTATAACGGTTTTTAAAAATTCAAATAATTTTTTACTCGTTCTATTTTTCTGTTGTTATTTTTCATGTTTCTCGAAAAAGGTGTCACTAATTGGAATGGATGATATAAAAGTGAATAAAGACACTCCAATAGAGATGTTGGAGATTATATCCAACACATCGTTAAGCGATTTCCTCAAGAACGAAGAAAATTGTGAAAATGACGATGTCGATTCGATTTTTGATGAGATTTCGCGACAACTTACGTCCTTAAGTGATAATAAATTTGCATTTGAGAATGATAATCGAACAATTGAGGACATTCTGAAAGAGGCTGAATCATTAATTAATCAACCACTTATTATGGATATGCCATCAATCAAAATGCCAATTTCAATTTCCTGTGAAAGCACTCCTTTAGAAATCAAAAACAACATTTTGGATCAATATGATTATTCAATAACACTTCATGATGTAAGTACAAAAATGTCTTAAACTATTAATCTTATGCGTTTACGAGATTTCTGGCTAAAACACGAGCAAATGCTAGTGATTCCTCGCCTGATGCAATAATCTGATTTGCGGGAAGCATAAATCCATAACGTCCTTCGTCACGTAGCTCAATTGTGTAAGAGTACTTTAGTTTTAAATCTCCCTTTGCCCAATCATCACTTCCGCCAGCTGCTGGATATAGAGTGCTTCCAGCTGGTCCAACAGTGTAAACTTTACCTTCTACATTCTTAATTGCTGCTGCTGCTTCTCTAGCTACTCTATCTAAGTCTTGATGATCAGCTGGAACTTTTCTATCATATCCCCAGGGATATAGGATATATTGTCCATAACTGTGGAATGACAGTGAAGCTTTGAAGTTGGCACCTGATTTCTTTAAGAAATCATTAACGGATTTTGTCTCAGGCTCGGAAAATGCTGAAGAGCCAGCAAAAGTTTCCGAACAAGGTTGTCGTGAGGCTCCTTGACCTAAATTAAAAGTTTTCATTAAAAACTTCTTTAAACAATATAAAACTTTGCTTACCGCCCCATTTGTGGCCATAATTTCTGTTCAAATCCACACCATTACAAAGGCGATTTATGTGACGTCGTCTATTCTTCCTCCACAATCTATCGCCTTTATGTGTATATGCATAACCATCGGGATTCATAACAGGCAAAATGTACCAATCAATTGCTTTAACATCGAGAGTTTCAGAATCCCAATTAGCGACCAAATGATCAATGACATATGTAACTGCAGCTGGTGAAATCCATTCACGGCTTTAAAATGCATGACTTTAAATGTAAGAAGAAAAAAAATAAAAAATTAAATCACTCACGCATGAATGCCTGCATCAATCCAAACGGCTTTGTTTGATGGATCTCCATTTGATATTCTTAAAACTTTAATTGGACGATTCTCAAGGGACCTTCCAATTGTCTTTACGCTGCATAAATTAGGATATGATTTAGCTAAAAAATCCATATATTGGAGAATATCTTCGAGATTATGATAAGCTGTCCATGTCATTGGATGTCCTTAAAAATTCATAAAAGCAAAAAATCATGAAAATTTTACGATTTGATACGTATTGTGAGTACATTGAACTTGCAAATGCTTAAATTTAGGAAATCACATTTAAATCAATATAATCTCGCATTGTGTTTATCAAATTATCCAATCCTTGAGTCATTAAAAATACAATTGATTTAACAAACTTTTGCTATTCATGCCCTTTTCGCGCTTCACCTTCAAATAATATAGAAAAGTTATTGTTGTCTTATGAACTATCGAAACAACATTTAATAGTTCAAAATTTTAAACTAAATGGGGGTTTTCACACATTAAATGCTATGCAAGTGCTGTTATTGTGTATTTTATTATTGTATTTGGTGAATAATTTGACGCACGCAACACCTAAAAGTATCGCTTTGTACTTTCCCTATCTAAATAAAATAATAAGTTAAAAATGGTTGTTTGTATAAATTAAGGAGCGCATGTCTGGCTTTAAAAGTTCTAATTGCATTTCATGATGAATTTCTATTATCATAAATAACAAGAATTTTGTTTAAAGGCAGTTTACTTAACAGTCCGCAAAATGACAACCATCAGCTCCCACTATTTAAAGTTCATATTTTATAGCTAAGAAAATGAAAATTTTCATGGAAACTGAAAAAAGGGATTGAATATATTCCATTTTTTTTCGGAAAGCCAAGAATGAACTGTGCATTTTAGTATTAAGTTGAAGCTCATTGTGAGTAATTTATAAATAAGAAATATTTTCTAACCGTCTCGATTTTGCCATAAATCAGTTTCTTCAAGCGGTGGATTTTCATTGTCAATTGCGTCTTGAACGTCATCCATAATCACATTAAACGGTACTTGAACTTTCCTTAAAAATTCTTTCGCATCATCAACGACAGCCGGTTTGACGAATAAATCAACATAAGAATTAGAAGAATTTGCCATTTGGATATTCCATATTGATGTCTTGTAAGTCTTTTGTAGTTCTGAGACTGCACTTTTAAACTGCTGGTCTTTATATGATAATCTCCATAGTTGAGCACCACGATAACTTCTTGGTTCATTTTCATCACCAAGAAGATTTTCATCGATTAGCAGTTCCGCTTCTGTATTTACTTCCGGTGGAATTGACTCAACCACAACTGTATCTGCAGTCTCACATGATACTTGATAAGAGTTTACTAGAAATACTAATAAAGTAACCACAAAAAATAATCTTGTCCACATTTTATGTGACATCCACAAGACAATAGCCAACACACAACTGAAATCTTTAACTTCTTGTGATGGTCATTTTATATTCGCGCTCTCTATTCAGATTTTGTTAGTGTTTAACAAAGATTTTTGAGGTGCTTGAGGTAAAAATATAATATCAACATGCGTTTGTGCATGGAGAGAAACTCAATTCGTTGTTGGTTCGTTTCCAGTAATATTTAAGTATTTATATTATTTTAATCTAACTTGTGGATGGCAAAGAGTGTAGGTTTTTAAGGTGTACACGTGTCATGTGCTTAGATAAAAAGATTTTCAAAATTTGAGGTTCGGACACATTTTACAAACTCAGTTCCACAATCATAAGCTTAAAGGAGTTGAATCATTTTACCCAAGACCCACTGTCTTACTGTAAACTTTGTAAAGCTTTTGTTCATATAAAACAAAAATAAAGAAAGAAGAGAGTCAGATGATCGAGAGAATATTAAATTAATAACCAGTTCCTAAAGTTCATTCAATTTTGTGTATTAAAATAAAAAGAAGCGCTGCTTATTGGAAGAAAAAATAATATTAATGAATGAGATGAAGTGGAAAAAGAGCCGTTATCTCAATTTTATGCATGATAATAGCTTTTATCTGAACATGACTCAATATTTGCTTGTCGCTATTTGTTTATGATACATTATAACTCTTCTTGTATATGCTTCGTTTACAAGCATCGCAAGCAATTCCATGGAAAATAAAATTTATTATGTCATTTTAAAGTAAATCTCTTTTTCTTTTGAATATAATTAATTTGTTTTCGATCAACAAGGTTTGTGACTTCCACGAATCAATCTTTTTCAATGGGGTCATATTGAATTGATTGTAAAAAAATTCTTTAAATATCAACAGGATGACACAAGTGATCGCACTTTGCTAAACGATCAACTAGACACTCTAGATTCCTGTCCATCATCACCATCATTAGAATTCAGCTCAAGTATGGTGTCAAAAAAGTCGTCATCCTCTCGAAGTAGGAAAAGTTCAAAATCGAAATCACCCAAAAAGGACAAAGATGATAAGAAGCAGCTTGATGAAGAAAATCATCCAATCATTCCTACTCAAAATACTGAGACAAGTCCAATAGAAGATAATGTTTTCGAATTTAACTTAAATCAAAAGATTTTATGTGATAAGTCAACAGCCCCGTCTCCAACACTTTCAATTATCTCATCGGCAACCTCAATTAATAGTAATTGGCAGCGTGAAAGAGAATTGGAAAACACGAATGAAGATTTACAAGAGAAAATTAAGGATTCTGAGGAACGATTGCAATCATTGAGGATACAATATGACTCATTGTCACAAATTCATCGTGTTTTACGCGAGAATCACCTTAGATTGCAAGAGGAAAGTGACAAATTGAAGATTGACTACCAAATTCTTGATGAGTGTGCTAATGTATTAAGGTAAATAGAAAATCTTAATATTCAAGGTAAAATGACTAAAGAATTCATAATTTTATTATCTCATCGGCAGGTGTGAATTGCAAGGAGCCAAAAAAGACCATGAATCTGCCATTGAAATCCAAAAATTTCTCCAACATGAACTCGAAGAAAATCGCGTCGACAAGAAAAAGTTTCAAGAGATTACAGAACGTGATTCGAAAACCATACAAGACCTGCAGCGACAATGTAAAGAAATGGAACGAATTCTCATGCGTAAACATCCAGATTCTGTCTCGGCACTGATTGTTGCAAGTAAAAATTCTAGCATGCAAGACTCATCAGCCTCAACACGAAAATTACTCGAAGAGAGAATTGCACAATTGGAAGCAGATGCAAAAGAGCAAGACAAGAAGGCACAGAATATTTTGGCAAGCGTTCAAGCACGATTTCAAACGGTACAAGCTAAATATGAAACACATATTCAAGATCTCGAGACACAAGTATTGAATCTTCAGCAAATTAATAATGAGCAGCTACGAGAATTGACGTCAAACTCAACACAAAATTACAATGAGCCAGGAATTGATGAATCGACCCAAACACTTGACATTCCAGAAAGAGAAACTGTTCAGCATAGAACAATTGGGATTCAAACTGCCAATTCTACATCAAATCCACCAAGTCGTGCAAATAGCTCACAGTCAATTAGCGCAAAGAAGAATCCAAAAATTCCAACATCACAATCGGACTCATCAATACCACCGAAGGATGATGCACATTTATTGGCAACAATTCGTGGAATGCGAGTTGAATTGGCTATTAAGGATAAAGCTGTACAGCGAATCACGAGAGACATGGAGGAATGTAAAAAGACGATAAAGAAGTTGCAAAAGGAACGCGATAATTACTTAAGCAGCAAAGAAAAGGAAAAGCCGTCAGCAACGCCGTCAAGAAAAACTTATAATCCCAATCATTACCAAGAAAATTTTGATTCGCATGCCTTAAAAGAAGCAATGGAGAAGATGAAACGAATGGAATGTGATTTTAAGTCGTTGTATGAAAAAAGATTGAAGGATGTGAGTTTATTAGCATTAATTATCCTATTACATTTAGTAATTGCCTTTATTTATTTTATCAGCTTAAAACTCTCCAAAGTGCTCACGAGAAAGAACTTAGTGCTAGTCACGATACAATTAGAATCCTACAGACTCGATTGGAAGAACAAACAAGTAGTAATGATAGGAGACGTGGTCAAATTGATTACTATGCACTGAAAGCTAAGGTACAGAATTCCTCAAAAAAATGATTATGCTTATTTCCTGTATGATTAAAACTAATTTGCTGCTGATTTTTAATTGATTTATTTTTTAAGGCAAAGAGTGGATATTTTTTGTTATTTTTGAACATTTTTTTCAGGTTTCCGCGGTTTCCTGATGATTTTAGGTGCTTCAGAGCAGTAGAATGAGAATTTTTGAACTTTATGGTTTTAGTTGAATTTTAAAATGTTCTAATCTAAAGTTTTTAACTTTGTTAATTCAGAATCTGATCGTTTATATATCAAAACTGTGAATGATCAATGAAAAATAATCAGGAAATCCAAAAAGGAGAAATTTTGACAAAACCCAACAATTTTTAACTTCTCATTTAAACTGCTTCAGATGCCTTAACCAAATTACAATAACGAAAATTTAACTATCAATAATAAATTTAATCCATTCGCTCTTTGCCTACAGCATCTCTTAAAAGCTTATTTTGCTAATCCTTATGACATTTATTCCTAAAAAACAATTTGATTTAACACAAATTACTGATTTTTCTTCTCTAATTTTTTTAAAACCTTTTACATCTTCTATCGCAAACTATTGCACCCTGCAAAATTCATTTTTGCTTTTCATTAAAACAAAAACCTTCGAACAGAAAAAGCGTTTTCAAAAAATTATGCGACGCAACACGATAGGAATTAAGAAATTGGCATTTGTGAAAAAGTCATAGACAAATCATAGATAATAGAGCAGCTGCTAATAATTAATAATCAAGTAAAGTACTAAAAGTTGTTTTTTAGATATCGTTTTGTGTTTATGACATTATAAGTTCGTTTTTTGAGAATTTTTTGTAGCTTTAGAATGATATTTATTTTATTAGGGTTAGTAGACTTCTTGAATGTAGACATTTGATAAAAAATCAATTAGAAATGACATCATTTGATCAATTTGTAAGAATTTTGACAAGAAATTGGCAGAATTGTAAGAGTTCAAAAAAATTTACTAGTGTATTGAGGCAAAATTTAAAACTTTACGAATTCTTTCCTATTTAAAATTAAGGTTAAAAAATTTATTTTAGTTTTGTAAATTTAATGCATGTCTGTCAGAATTAACGACTCGATGCAATTTAAGACAGCCTTTAATTCATCAAATCATCGTTCATAATTTTAATATTTTTATGCTTCATTTCCTTGACTCAAGTGTCTCTCGTTTTCCATAATTAAGTTTAAAAAATCATATGGAAAGCATGGACTTTATATAACCTTTTTTATGTCTTTATAATTTCTGCTTTACTGACTGTGAACTTATAATTTTCTTTATCTTTTAAGTTTACCAAATTTTTGATATTTTAAACCAGATTTTAATATATAATGATTGAAAAAAACTTTAAATTTATGAAAGTTAAACTAATTACAGATAACGTCCCTAGAGAAGCGTCACTCAGAACGTGAAAAATCCTTCCATTTTCTTATTGAAGCACTAAGTAAAGGAAAACTTTGTTGTGAGCAAACAAATAGTACAGTTCCTTTACATGAGAATAGTTCTTTGCATTCCAATTGCAATATTCCGAATAGTAATTAAGTTTGTGCAAAAATAAAATATTTTGAATAGACTACGTAAAGCTAGTTGTGCGTAAGTTAAGTTTTATTGACAGATTTGTATTTTGATAAAAACATTTTTTTGGATAAATCTGACAAATTTGCACAATTTTTTGTTTTGTTTTTTGTGAGACATTCACTACGATTTACTATCCACTTACCAAAGATATTTTATTCTGCTAAGATTATGTCTGATTAATTTGTGATATTATTAAGTTAATTTATCAATAATCATTTGAGAATAATTTTATTGTATTTTATTTAAGAACGCACCTGAATGGCATTTCGAATTTTATTGTATTGACACACTTAAGAGAATATTTTACTTGATCTCAATAAATTTAGCAACTTTAGAAAAGTTTAATAAACAGATGAGATTTATTTGATAGTTTTAATCTACTCCTATTGACATTAATGGGTGAAACCTTACTAAGTATGGTTTTATGGTGAAAATTTTAAAGCAACAAGATGAAATCAGAATTAGGACCGAGTAGCACAAGTCAGATAATCGAGACAAAACCGTCATCTTAGTGTAGGATTTTGTCTTGATTATCTGACTTGTGCTATTCGGGAAGTTCTGCTCTTAAAAAACATAAAGTGTTTTTCCTTTAAAAAATTAAAAGTTCACCTTTCAATCCTTTTTAGCAAGATTCACTCAATTTAAAAAAAAAATACTCAAGAATTTTTAAAAACGGTTAAAAACTTTAACATATTTGATTCTATTCCCTATTTATAAGTTCTATCCTTAATTATGAAAACAATACTCAACTTTCACAACATCATAAAATTTTATGATCTTAAAAAATTTGTTGAAATTAAGATTTAATTACATAAATAAAGATTGAGAGCTAAAAGACACCAAAACTTAATTTGTTTTAAAACTTTTCAGATGTAGACACTTTAATTTTTCTGTTCATCAATTCTCAGACTCTGAAATAAAGCATGTTCATTTCTAGATTTGATTTATACAGAAATAATTTACTTGAAAACAAATATCATAGTCTATAGATTAGTTGTCGGCAAGCAATTTGAATGCTCGCCAAGTCACACTAGTTTGCACACAACGATGTAAACTTACAGCCAACAAAAATGAGAGAGAGGTGCACGTTGTAATATCACTACAAGTTTAAATCAAGTCACTGTATTTACTGTTTTAGTTCATTTTGACTATATTGGGAGAGTCAGGTTTGTAAAAAAGTCAATTTTTATGTCAAGAAGATTTATTCGTACCTTAAGTAAGGCAAAGTAAGGTTTTGTTATATTCAAGACAGAGATTTTCATAAATATAGCTCCAGACTCTCATCCCTCTCAAATTTCAAAATCACTTATAATTAATATCTGCACACATGTTTAAAGAATTCAAAGTATTAATGATAAAGGCAAGTCCGCAAATCGCGCTAAAATTGCAATTTCATAATCTCAATGCCAATAATGCAATTTATAATAAGTTTGTAATTTTTGTAAATATATTGTTTTTTATATGGGATTTTACAACGAACTAGTTTTTAGTATTGTTACCTCCAATTGCTAGTCAGTGCCACGATTGTATTGCACACTTCATTGCACAAGCTATTTGTGCAGTTATTATCGAGATCTCAGTCATGCAAGTATTCGCATTAAAACTCTTAATTTTATCGTTATCAATCGCATGTGCTGTTGGTATACATTGTTATGACTGCAACAGTAAATTTGAAGGACAATGTTCGGATCCATTTGACGAAAATACTGTAAATGGATTGTTGAAATTAAATTGTGATAATAAGCCAATGCATTCAAATACAAGTGACGTAAAGGCATCGTTTTGTAGAAAAGTTTATCAAAAAGGTGCAAAAAATTAAGTCAGAGTGGAAATGACAAATTATTTATAAAGTGATTGTTCCTATTATTTTAGTTAACGAGGAAGTGAGAGTAATCAGATCGTGTGGATACATCAGTGATATTGAGAAGCATGGTGGATGCAGAAAAAGCGTACCATCAAAAGGAGTTGAAATATTATCATGTGAATGTTATGGAGAATCATGCAATGGCAGTTATAAAGTGCAAGCAAATTTGATCTCAATTGGATTAATTATATCAATCTTCATGGTCAGCAGAAATTATTTGATGTAATGCAGCAGCTTAACGCACTATTTTTTGTGTACCTTTATGACTTTCTTATTAATGAATGTAATCAACTCGAGTGTGTAACTTTAAAATCAATACTTGTTTCTGTATATTCAGATTATTACTCATACCTTCATTTCTTGTTCAATTTCATTTAATAAATGGTGCTTGAATGATAAGCAACAGTCGCGTGAGAAGAAAATGTTGACATTGAATTTTTATTTCTAACACCTTTTTTATTTGCTGATATTATTCCGATAAAGTTTTTGATTGACTGTAATTTCTTCTTTAGTCTTTTCCTTCCAAATCTTATCGCAAGATGATTTATTGCACTAATTGTGTTATTAAAAATAAGTTAATAATTTCATGGGATTTCCGATACGTTGTCGTCAAAATGCTCGATGTGATTTCTGAGTATTTGTATCACAGGGGCCGGCTTTTAACGCTACCTCCCCTAATCGCAGTCAAATGAAATTTATATTTATTATCGTCCATTGATTCTTGATACTAGGATAGAATGTTTTGATCAGACATTGAAACTAGCCCAGATTGAATAAGACAATTATAAATTTTTACTCATAAATCTTTATTAAGCATATCCTAATGATGATGCACGGATGCTTTAGATTAAAGTACATTCATACATTCAGGTATCCAATTTGTCTATCAACTCAATGACTAGACACGCTATGACTAATTTGCTATTCGTTTATTTGACTACAATTTGAAATGTCTATGGTCAAAGGCACGAAACAATTTGCTACAATCTATATTCAAATTAGCTGTGTCCCATCTATCAACCTGCATTCAGAACAATTAAATTCAATTGCACTTCCTTGACAATCATTCAGACACAAATTCTCTCATCCCTGAACTATTTGAGAGTAAACAATAAATAAGTGTCAACATTGAAATCTCAGCGTTACTTCCTCGTCGTTAGACAGTCTTATCACTGGAAATACAGAGTATAAATTAAAAATTTAAATACGCTCTCAAATATAATTAAATTCAATATTGACTAAACATTTAGTTGATAAACTTGATTCAGTCATGAAACATTTGTTGCTTTTTAGTGTTTTGTGGCTATTGACAGTTGAAAGGAGCATCGCTATAAAATGCTATGAATGTCAGAGTGTTACAGATAATAGATGTAGTGATCACTTCAAGTTGCCATTTTTAGAAGCAATAGTCGATTGTGATTTAGAACCTAACCCAATGGGATTAAACTACAGGGCAACATTTTGTCGCAAGATTAAACAGAAAAGTAAGTGCCATCTTCAAATGAGTATTATTTCCATTTAAGCTTATCAAAAAATCATTTCAGTCTACGACCACGTGAGGATAACAAGATCGTGTGGATTTATACATTCGAATAGCACCAAAAATTGCACAACTTCAACATTAACTGATTCCACATCTTCGCAATATTGCGATTGTTATGATGAGTTATGCAATAAAGGCAGAAGAAGCATTACATCTCGTAATTATTTACTATTACTGATAAGTACATTAATCAGTACATTATCACTGTTTGCAGTAATTACAAAAAATACATAATGACAAGTGCTTTGGTTTAAGATCACGTTTTATTCACGAGTTGTTTTGGGATCAAAATGCTCAACTGATAAGACATTCCGTGAGTGTGAGAAGTGGAAATAAACCTTAAAGAAAATAGTGGTTGAAAAATTCATTCTACAAAATTCAGTCGTTCGTTCCAGTATGAAGAAATAAGGCACAGCATGAAATTAAAAATTGCAAAATTGACAAGAATTCTCATAGTTTTAGTATTTATAGCTACTGAAGTTGATGCAATCAAATGTTATCAGTGCAATAGTGTTTATGATCAAGACTGTAGATTACTCAAATCTGACCGTGTTCATAAATTAATTATGGATTGTGACATATTCCAAAAAAATAATTTAACTGCTTCTTTTTGTCGGAGTGTTTACCAAAAATGTGAGTTTTGAGACGTGACTTTAAATATATTCTCATTAAAATACTTAAATGATTGCATCTATTCAACTAAGTTCTGTTTAAAGGATCTGTGTAAAAATTCGTTTGATGATCGGAAATGTGGGAGTGGCTTTGTTGACAATTTGTTATCAATTTAATGATGCGAAAAATTAATTTAACTAGTTTTAAAATGAATTTTTCCTTACAAGTGTATATTAAACTAAAATGAATATCATGCTAAAGCTTTGAAAGAAAAATATTCATTTCAACGTTCTTATTGTTGACCAGTGATTCTCAAACCTTTCAAAATTTTTTTTTCCCATTCCTTGTGATTTCATAATAATGAAGAAATTTAAAAGAACAGTGTCGATTCTATTAAGCTCTTAGTTATCAAGTTAACTTATCAGTATACCGAGCTTAATAAGCTTTTAATTAAAAAGCACATATATAAAGATTATTATGAATTTTTAAAATCCTCAAAAAATTCTCAGGTGTAATTTGGAATTCTTATCAAATCTTCACGAAAAATGAAAAATGTTTAATAAAATGGTTGATAAGCTTCTTAGAATAAGGTGCGCGCAGTTCGTTTAGACGCACTTAATTTTTTTCAAATTTTCCTTTAATAAACACTATTAAGACAAAAACTATTTTATGTGTTTATAGCTATGACCAATTAGGTTATAAATATAATAAAAGTACCTGACTAAATGCTTTGCTTAAGTAATTAAAATAATTTTTTCAAAAATTACAACAACAAAGTGCGCAGTTCGTTTAGACGCACTTTGAAAAATCTAAAATTTTGTCTTATTTACGTTTCGTAGAAAACTTAATCGTTTCTAATATTAATCTATCAACAAAAACGAGTAATTACTGAGGGTTTTAGAATTTTCCATCAAGTTTTTCCAGAGATTTTCCTTCATTAAAGTTTTCATGTTGCAAAAATTTTGATAAATTATTTATCCAATAATTTTGCGTTAAATTATTATTCTTTTAACTGATTTCCATAGATAATTGTCCATAATATTAGAAAATTAACAGATATTTAAGCTTTCTTCTAAGTATAAGGCGAAAATATGTGAAAAATATAATTATGGTGAAAAATTTCCACCACTCTCATAGATTAATCAACAAATTTTGACAAAACTGTAGATACCATAATAAATTTGAATAGACCAGCTTATTTATCGTATTAAACTTAGTTAAAAACAGAAAACTGCACAGCTCTATGGCTAATGGAACTTGAAAATTTTACTGATAAATTAAGTTGTGGTGAAAAAATTCACCATAGAAAAATAAAATTTTAAAAAAACTATGTCTAAGGTTTTAATTCATGTTTTAAATTGATTAATTTTGAGACAGAAACACTTTTACAACCTAATTTAAATGAAACAATTGCCTAAAACAACGTTTTTTAAAATTTTATTTTTCTATGGTGAAATTTTTTCACCACAACTTAATTTATCAGTAAAATTTTCAAGTTCCATTAGCCATAGAGCTGTGCAGTTTTCTGTTTTTAACTAAGTTTAATACGATAAATAAGCTGGTCTATTCAAATTTATTATGGTATCTACAGTTTTGTCAAAATTTGTTGATTAATCTATGAGAGTGGTGGAAATTTTTCACCATAATTATATTTTTCACATATTTTCGCCTTATACTTAGAAGAAAGCTTAAATATCTGTTAATTTTCTAATATTATGGACAATTATCTATGGAAATCAGTTAAAAGAATAATAATTTAACGCAAAATTATTGGATAAATAATTTATCAAAATTTTTGCAACATGAAAACTTTAATGAAGGAAAATCTCTGGAAAAACTTGATGGAAAATTCTAAAACCCTCAGTAATTACTCGTTTTTGTTGATAGATTAATATTAGAAACGATTAAGTTTTCTACGAAACGTAAATAAGACAAAATTTTAGATTTTTCAAAGTGCGTCTAAACGAACTGCGCACTTTGTTGTTGTAATTTTTGAAAAAATTATTTTAATTACTTAAGCAAAGCATTTAGTCAGGTACTTTTATTATATTTATAACCTAATTGGTCATAGCTATAAACACATAAAATAGTTTTTGTCTTAATAGTGTTTATTAAAGGAAAATTTGAAAAAAATTAAGTGCGTCTAAACGAACTGCGCGCACCTTAGTTCCGGCAATGTTTTTCAACCTTTCCATGTCTAATGATTCTATAGAAATTGAAATCAACCATTTACCTACTTTTAAGTCATCTTTATATGTATCTTATGAAAAATATATAAAAAAATTCTTTTCAGCGTATAGTGGAGACGTGCGACTAACAAGATCTTGTGGATTTCGACCGCAAATGAAATTAAAGACTAATCAGTGCACCCGAATAACATTTGGAGATTCTACTTATTCAAATTATTGCGAATGTACGACAGACTTGTGCAACAATGCTTCTAAATTTAGCTTTTCTTACCTCATATTATTCGTGATATTAATAAGTATAGCACAGATTATCAGAAATTTTTTGGAATCTTAATTTAAATAAAGTTATTAATTTTTTTCTTGATTTTAATTGTTATTAATTTGAAAGATATTCGGTTTTTATTGTTCAGAATTGGAAAGAAGTCGAAGATTTATCTAATTACGTCAAATTTTTACACACTTCAAATCACTCCTATCATTTAGTGACATATAGATATTGCAATATATTCAACAATTATTAATAATTTTGATAAGCTTTAACTTTATTATCAATATAAAAATTATCAACTATAAAACTTGGGTTGAGTATTTCATAAAATTCTCGAGGAGTTCGTGTGATCACTTCAGTCAAAAATTTAAGCTCCAAGAGTTAATAAGAACAAAAATAAATCAATCAAATTCAGTTAAAAAATATTTCAAGATGAAATTGATCGCAGCTTTTTTGGGAGTTTTCTTCACAATTCTCACTATTCAAATAAGCGTAAGTGCTATCAGGTGCTATGAATGTACAAATGTGTTGGGTGCAGAATGCGAAAAAGTGAATGATGGCATGATTGTAAACTGTACTTCAGCAGTTTCTTGCATAAAATCTAAAGGAAAATGTAATTATGAGAAAATCCTAAATTGAAAGTTATTAAAAAGATTGTTAATTTTTGTTTAAAGCTTCAGCAATAGATGTAACAATAAGAAATTGTGGAAGCCCAGTATTGTTATATAACAACCAATGTAATGAAATAAAAGAAGGCGATTTAACAGGAACAATTTGTGAATGCAGTACTGATTTGTGTAATGGTGCATCAAGTGTCGTTATGCATTTCACTGTTTTTGTTCCAATTTTGATTGCTATTGTTGTAAAACATGCTTGGTAAAATCCATATCAAGATTTTTTTTTTATAATTTAATTTTTTCAATAAACAAATTTTCAAAAGCTACAAGATTCTGTGTTTATTAATATGTTTAAAACACAAAATACTAGAAAATCAATTTTTCAGATAAACTAATATTGTCTTTTCTAGTCAATGACTCATGCAATGGGCTTGTTGTTTATTTAATGAAGTGTGTATGTTATTAAAGTAATTTGCTTTTTTATCTAGTTTTATTCAATTGTGCGGTTTTGTCACCTAAGTTAAATCAGATCGAAAAAAATGCATTAACCTGATTAACCTTCAAAATTCCAAATTAACTTTCATTTGTTTTATTGATCATTAGTAATAATCAACAATTGAATTAAATGCAATTTCTTAAGTAATAATTGGCACTTTATAAATTTTACTGCAAATCGATAACTTATTATTAATTGAAGCTGAATCAGCTTTATGATAGTTCGTAAATCTTTTATCAAAGGTGAATCCCGATTATTGGTGATTTACACCAAATAGTGATTCATACAGAAATACATGAACAACTCATTTTTAATAGAAGTATTAAAATTTCCTTGCTGTGTCTCTCCGGAAAAGAAAGATGAAGAAAAAATGAGCAACAATAGACTTGTGGCGCCGAGACATAATGAGAGAGTTTCCTTGTGTTTAACTCATCATTGACATTTCATAATGGACATAAAACGAGAGAGCATTAAGCAGAGAAATTTTCCATTACTTTTAAGTGTGTTTGAAAGTCAATCCTTATTTTTTCTTTCAAGTTTTACAAATTGTGCATAACATATTATTAAAAATTTATTAATTTAAGCATGAATAAGTGGGCGATTCAATTATCAATAGTGATATTCAGTCTAATTTTGTCAAGTAAGCTGTTCTCTTATATCCAATTCGATTGTGAATCACCGAAAATAATTGTTGTGCTTTCTAGTTATCGATTATTTCTGTTTTAGATTCCGCCGCATTAAAATGCTATGTTTGTAAAACTCAGGAAAATGCAGAATGTCATGACTTAAGAGATACTTACATAAAAGCACAGGTATTGATGGTTTGAATGTCACGATCAATTTTGATCTTTTTCAATATTGCTGTTAACTTCAAAAGATAACTTTCAATTTGTTCTTATAGGACTGCATTGGTGATCCAAAGTGGAATGAAAAATTTACATGTTTCGTGAATTCCAGCATGGGTAAAGAATAAAATTTATTAATCTTTTCAATTTTTTTTTAAATCCATCATTTCAGTAAACAATCTAATCGAAACAGATCGGAGTTGTTTAGTCATCAACAGTTCATCTGAACCGTGTCTAGGAAAAACGAGCTCACACAAGTTTGGGAGATGTCGTGTGTGCTCTGAGGATGAATGCAACAATGACTTTAATCTTGGCACTAAAATTTTTAATTTTTGGGATATTTCAATCATAAGTTTACCAGCCATACGACTCTCAAATCGATTTCGATTGATGTGAAATTTTTTTTTGTCTCCGTGCATACTCTTGCTTCCTTTAAACTCAATAATCGAATTATAACTTATAATTGACTAAATTACATTTGGTTATTCAATTGAACTCGTTAATCTCACTTTTTGTGCATTAAAATATACTTATAATTCACTTGACATGAAAAACCTTCCAAAAATATATTTTCCAAGGCAAACTTTTGATGCGAAAAGTAACAAGATATTTACAATGTTTGTAAGTTGATATTCTCAGCGACTACATTTCTATCCGAAATTCTTCATTCAGACTTAATTTCATAAGAATAAAGAACGTAAATTCAATTAAAAAATTATTCATTTTATTAATTAATTAATTTACATACATACGAGTTTATCGAAAGCAGCTAGCGAAGAGTAAATAAGCAAGCATGATCCATCATTCTCACATACAGCCACATTTCAGCTGTTACAATAGTTGTTGTTTGATGTTCAAATTATATGACCCACCAAAGCATTTGATTGCCGTAAAGTGAATTTCGGCTTCGACGTCCCCGGAAAGACACAGCATTTTCAAATTAACGCGTTATGTGTATTCTTAAAAAAATTCTATATACACCCATCATACTCTAGAGACTCGTCTTGATCGATCACTCAGTCACTTACTAGACATCGTTGAGTTAAGCTCGAGAAAAAAGTTTATCAGTTGTTGGAATATAATAATGAAATTTGTGGTGCTATTGACTGTTTTGGCGCTATTTGCCATAAAAAGTATGAAAAAATTTTGTGTTAAAAAATTGAGAAGAAATTAAAAAATTTACAATTTTCTTTATTTGAAGATGGATTTGCACTAGAATGCTATATTTGCGATAGTGATTTTGACCAAAATTGTCATAATATGTACGATCGAAATATGCGAACGGAGGTATGGACCCAATTATATTAGTTTATTATTGTGGGTGGATGCAAGTGTCAATTACTGGAATTTCGATAAAATTTGTTCAGTTTATGAGATAGCATCTATTTGGGACATTCAAAAATTACGTCTATAGGATAAATTATCTCTCCCTGTTCTATGCTGACTAGTGTTGAAAAGAATTTTAAAAAATTACTAAAACTCATCAAAGATTACTGCTTATGACTCGCAACATCATCACATCCCAATCTTAGATTAAAGATCTTGTAACAAAAACAAAGTGTCAACAGCGTCAAGTGTTTATAGAATTTTTAACGTAAACTAAGCTGCTAATTGAATGTAATATAAATCATTAAATACAACAGACAGGAAACATTGATTGACCTAAAGCGAAGTTATTAAATTATTATTGTATTTAGACATTTATAATAGTTTTGGTGTTTACTGTGGGATGTCAATTAAGATGTTGTTTCCAAGTGATGTACCAGAAAATACGATGTTGCTACTTACATTAGACAGCTGTACATCCCTGCACATAAAATTCAAATTTGATTAATGTTCATGTGATCATTTCATTTATAGCCTGTTTGAAAATTTCCATAAATTTGTAATAGTTTTAAATGTCATTCCGCCAAATGCTTCAAATCTATGACTCATATTTCATTTAATTGAATTTTCTCCAACTCAATTCTGTAGATTTGGCCCACAAAATTGATGTTTGTTCAGATGAATTAATTTGAATATCGGTTCTTGTTGATCTTTCTCGCTTCCGATTAACCTTTCTCATGAATAGGTCACGAAAGAATAAAATTTCATATAACATAAGACAATAACATTAATTGGAATTAACAAATGTCTCATAAATTGAATCGAGTTTCATAACGACATAAGAACAAGATACTTCATCGCTAATTCCCTCAATATTTGTTTTTCTTTTTTTCTTAAACTAATTATGATTCGATTTATATGTAATATTGCAGCATTGTGATGAGACGAGAATGATTGGATATCAACGGCCAGTATGTTTGAAGACAGTTAGTTTTGGTAAGAACATATATGGATGTAATTGACATGAATATAATAAAATTTAATTGATTGTCTCATTTTAAAATTATAGAATATGGGAATCGCAAGACTATCCGTAGTTGTGCACGATTTGGACCCAGAAAAGGTACAAAAAATGTCAAATTTTAATTTTAGGACAATTCCAATTGTTGACAAATGCTACTAAACTTAATTCTTAATCCACAGACCCGTGCTTCGAAAGACGAAATGCTGTCGATCTAGCTGTATGTGAGATTTGTGATGGGCATTTATGTAACGGATCGAAAAAATTAGTAAGCAGCTTCTGGTTGGCACTTCCGACATTCATTGTATTCTTGTATAAGAAGTTCATGTAAAGATAATATTTAAAGCTTAATATTTTAATGAAATTTTGTATTCAAAAAAATAGTTTTAAGCACTCCTTTTTACGCACATCACACACTTTTTAATACTGGACGGACAAAAGTTATGAAACAGTTAATTTGTAATAAAGTTAAAAAATTTTAAACCTAAGAATTGGAAGATTTTTTCTGTTTAATGACTTTTTCAGATTTAATTGCTTATTCTATATGGAAATAATTTTAAACTTTTTAACGTCAATTCTTTGTTTTATGGCTTTTTTGATGATCCAAATCTATGCTTTCAACTAATTTTAATTAAATCAAACAACTTGAATTTGATTGTTACCAATGTTTTGACTTACTTAAGCTAGAAAATTGCCATCAACATAAATAGGAACTTATTCAGCACAAATTAAATCTTCCAAAGACATTGTAGTAATTTACCACTAAGCATCGTTAAGCACAAACAAAAACATGAGAATAATTTTGATGACATAAAGTTGAGTGACGTCTTATTATCATTATCAAGCTCAAAGTCAAAGATTTTTCATTGTCACCAAAAGCGTGCCATTTTCTGTTTTTATGGCACTGACTGTCATGTATATTATCAGAACCTGTTGCTAAAATTAAATTGAGTTTAAATTTTCTATTGTGAATTAATGAAGAATATTAATATCAAGCATGAAGGTTTGCGGTTTAAGTTTGATTATTTGGAAGTCACGAGTTTATTGATTTTTGTTGGTTTTGGTGGCAAAAACCTTATTAAATACTTGCTACAAAATAAAAACCAGCATCATTAGCTTAAAAAATTTTGACTTCTTTTATTTCATTTCATTCACTTCAAGTGACTTTTGCATTATAATCCTTAACTAAGTACTTTTTTCATAATATTTCTTATGATAACTTTAATTTTTTTTTTCTTTACTGGCCCATTACATTTCAGAACTAAAATTAAATTTGAATTGCTACACTCATACAGTGTGTCCTTAAGATGCTAAATAAAATATATGAAGAGATTAAAATAATTCTATTAATACCAATTTGTATAGGATATTTCGATAACTTTCATTCTTACAGATATTTGCTGCATGTTTTGGTGATTCGACTATGCTACTTCTATTCTTGAGATATATCATGAGGTTTGGGTCTGGAATTTTTTAAGTGATTTATTCTGGATTGTTTTTCAGATTTGGTTCCCAAAATTTGAATTTATGGTTGAAAAATTGTTAGTCTGAAGCATTCTATTTACATCCAAAATGCATAAATTTTAAGTTAAAATGTCATATAATTAATGGATTGACCTCAGAAATCTCACTACTCCATGTTCATGCCATTCCACCAAAATGAACAAAATTAAGTGAATTTCTTTGCATATTTTACAGCGTGCATACATTTTAGCAATTTATAATACATACTTGACCAGTTCCTCTTTTTTTCTTGCTTTCATTATCGAATTAAACTCAATATTGAGGATCAAGTTTTCTTTGATAAGATGCAGAATTCAACAAATGTAAGAAAGTTCATGACATTTAAGTTATTTCAAGTTTTTATCCATTTTATGGATATCATGAAGTGTTAATAAAAATCACAAAATTCCCTCCGATGTTACATATAATATTTCCGTCCCAAGAATAAAAGCATCATGTACATTATTCTCAATAATAATAATAATTAAGTATGACAATATAAAATTTTGTGAGGTATGACATGCAGCAAAGTTAGTCTACTCGTGTGACAGTGAGATATTTTTAGTAGTTCCAATGAATTTATACGTCTTCTGGATCGCCTCCTAGTAATTTTTCTTCATCATCCTTCATAGTACTGACCTTCTTAACACCTTTTCCCTTTGTTGGATCGTGGCCATATAAAAATATTGAAACAATTACTAACACTGTTCCGAAAGCAAATTGTGTAGTCAGTTCGAAATTAAATAAATAGATTGACACGATGCACGACAAGACAATGGCAAGTGATGTGGCAAAACCTTTGAGGATATTATCGGCATATTTTACGACAACAGCAACAATCAAACCACCACCTGCTTGTAAAAGCACGAGGAAGTAAACGAAAGAATCATATCCATAGAAGAATCCTTTGTCGTTGATTTTAGCACTATCATTAGCATATGATGTAATGAGGGAAAGTGGAAGACTTAATAAACTTAATTGGATGTTTCTCATCCAAACTGATAAATCAGAAGTCTTTAGCATTTTCTCAAAGAAGATTCCTGCAAATCCACTTAATACACAAGCACCAAGGGCAGCTGAAAATCCAAGTGTTCGATTCTGTTCAACAGAAACAACTCGATTTTCTCCACCTGCTGACAATTGAACCATTGCCACACCACAAACCAATATGAATAATGATCCCCATTGAGTTGAAAATAACTTTTTTCTCAGCATGAACACTGCAAACATTGCTGTCGTCAGAATTTTTAATTGGTACGTCACTTGATATGTTGCTGCGTCGAGATTTGCTGCTGATATATAAAGTAAGTTATTTTGTAAAACATAAATTAACGACGGAACAGTCATTTTGAGCTAGAAGATATGAGAAATTGAAAAAACGGAAGTGAATTATTAGATAGTAATTTTATGCAGAGTTGATGCTTGGTATAGAATTTTGTATTACTGTCCTTGATTATCAAGGTCGAATCATCAAAACACAAGCAAGTGATAAGGAACTTATAAGACTTACCGTATCAGTTTTGTTTTTAATAATGGCATTATACAAGCTTGCTTTAAATCGAAGCATTGTTCCTTCTTCCATAAAAACCAGTACAAGGCATGTCAAGAGCTTTGTTATTTCGGCCATAAAAACAGCTATAAAATTGATAAATAATTTAAGGAACTAAAATTTATGACAGAAATTATTGATTGCATACCCGTGGAACTGAAGAATATTGGTCCATCTCTAGTTGTTGCATATCGCATTGATAAACTGACCATGGAATTCTGGACTGTTAAGGTCAGCAAGGAAATGTATTTTAAGTTTTCTGGATTCATTCCTAAAAAATAATTAATCAACAAATTTTATTGATGCCGGTACTAAAAGATGACATCATTAGCCTGTGTACTTACTGTGTATTGCCATAGTCACAACCTTTGATATTAACTATACTACATTAATTTAAACTATTGTAAGATGGGGTTTTCTTGCTAAATTAAATTTTGTGTTCGTGGATCTACAGTCTAACCTGCTCAAATATGCAGCACCTCTCTAATTCAACATCACTTTGTTTACAAAAAACTTCGAGTTCGACTTGTAAATTTGTGAATACCATTAAACTTAATTTTCTTACTAATCCAGCATACTAATTTACAGTTAATGCATGTAAAGTATTTGTTAAAGTCACCAAGAAGTGAAACAAAATAAGGAATCACAAGAAAATCTATAAATTGTGTGAAAATTTCAATATAATTGAAATAAAAACAAAAACATTGCCGGCGATTTGTTAATTATGGCAACAAATAATGCTGTTACTCGATCAAACTCATTTAATGAGGCATTTTTGAGTGAATCGTATCAAGATGCCAGTACAATAATTACTGATTTGGACAAAGGTAAGAATTAAAAAAAGATCCAGTAAACGAAAAATTATTCAAAATAATATTCATTTTAAAGGCTTGAGATCTCCAAATATTGGTGAGCAATGTGAAGCACTAGTAAGATTCCCCAAGCTGTTTGAGAAATATCCATTTCCGATAGTTATCAATTCTAATTTCCTAAAATTAGCTGAGTTTTTCCGTGTTGGATCTAATTTATTCAGATTGTGGGTATTAAGAGTATGCGAACAGAGTGAAAAGCACCTCGAAAAAATAACTAACGTGGATGAGTTCGTTAAACGAATCTTTATGGTAATTCATTCAAACGATCCGATTGCACGGTCATTAACTTTGAGAATTTTGGGTTCTGTTGCTTGCATAATTCCCGAAAAGCAACAGGTTCATCATGCAATTCGTCGTGCTTTAGATAGTCATGACATGGTCGAAGTAGAAGCTTCAATTTATGCAAGTGCGCAGTTTGCGGAACAGTCAAAAACCTTCGCAATAAGTATGTGCTCAAAAGTTGCATCGATGATCGAGTCACTTCAAACGCCAATTAATATGAAATTACAATTGATTCCTGTATTAAAGTACATGTATCATGATGCAAATACAGCTGCATTAGTTAAGACATTGTGCATAAATTTGCTTCCCAAATATCCATCAGAAAATTTTATATGCGTAACGTTGCAGTCTTTAACGGAGCTAAGTTGTGCAACTTTAGTCGATATTCCAGATCAAGTTAATTTGCTTATTGATTATCTACAAGATCCACGACTGAATGTAAGAATTCATGTTCTTCAATTATTGCAAACTTTAGCTGAAAAGGGAGCTCACTTATGGCAAATTAATTCAGTCAATAATTTAATATCTGTCGCTCAAACAACTAGAGGAAATGGACAGGAAAACAGCATGATGTTAAAAATTATTTTGACACTCACTAAATGCCCATTAATTGCTGGATCAAAGAAGGAAGAAGGAAGGATTCTAGAACTTTGTACTGTATGTTTTAAGACTGTAAATCATAAAACAAGCAGTCTGGCAATAGAAATTTTAACAAGTGTTGTGACTTACTGCTACAATGAGAAAATTTCACCGCCTCAATCGTACTTGAAAGAAATCCATACACATCATGAACAGCTGATAATGTCAAGTTTGAAAGACGAAGTCCACATTCGTGAATTGACAATGTACATTAAGTGTGGCGTGCAATTGGCGGAGAAGAATGAGCTGTTTGCGATGGATTTTACAAAATTGGTCGGTAAAATTTTGACAGATGAACAGCAATTGAGCCAAAAACAGTCGGAACTTATTTGCGAGACTTTAGGGGCATTATGTAGTCATTTTATGAAAGACAAGTTTCAGCACGTTGCAAAAAAGACATCAAACGAGACTATGGATGTAGATGAAGTGACATTAAATCCATTTTATGACCTTTTGCCTAGTCTGTTGAAGAGACTCGAGAATCTCGTATGTCCAAAATTCAATCCAAATGATTCTCATTTTATCGAAATTCTTGCTGCTGTATGCTTACAATCGATGATGGGTGTTCATATAACACAGGACATGTATGATGTATTTAAGAAAGTCCTTGGAATTGTGAATAATTGGAGTCAATATAGAATAGCTCGATCAGCATCTCGTTTTGGACATCCATTTATAGCTACGAAAATTTATCAGAAATTATCAAAGGATGTCTCGCAGGAACGTTATCACTTCTACTTATCTGGTTTATCACAAATATCTACTGCTGAATGTATCCTTATTTATGGATATGAATTCGACGAACTTGAAGTGAAATTCAATGAAATTGAGCATGATGAGAATCAAATGAATTTGATACAGCGTCTTGAAAAGTCTGTTGCTTTATACTGGAAAGCCCTTGCTAATCTTAAAGCTGCATCTTCGCACATCCATTCATTATCATTTCAAACTGAGTATGTTTGGCTTCGTGCATCATTTTTGGAAGCTTTATTATCCGTCGTGATTGCAAGAAATACACAATTCATCACTCCACCTCCAGCTATTGCATCTACATTCGCACATAATACACGCGATCCATTACAGAAATTTGGACATGTAACAAATCAATTTAGGAAGTGTGTAAAGTCTCTGAAAGTATGTGAAGATAGCTACTCAATGCTTTATAAATCAGCATTTGATGCTGATCCGTGTTCGTTGGAACAACTTGAGATCATGCAACATAAGTGTGCATTACTTGGATATTCTTTAGAGAATATATGTTTCACGACATCTCAGGATCAGGAGAATTTGAACGTTCCGACACAAGGAAATTATCCAGAAACGGCATTTACAATGTCAATTTGTAGAAAGATTTCAAGAGAATTTGAAAAGCTTCCGCAGGAACAAATAAAGACAATTACAAATGTCCACACAGACTCGATGCTTAAACAAATCGAAATGGCTATAAAAGCACCAATTTGCATTCCTCGATTCTTCTTCCAAGTCCAACAAATCACGTCTATTAAATTGTCAATGTCACCGTATCAACGAGTAGCTGGCGAAGCTATTTTAGTTCCAAATGGACATAATTTGGTAGTAAAAGTTGAAGGAGTTATTCAAAATGCTGGGGCTAAGCCATGCCTTTATAGATCAATCGACTCTGTTCAATTGACTTTAACATCTCAGTTATTGACACCTAGACCCGTCGATATTAAGCCAATTAATGATGTCAACACATTAGTGCAAATCACAAAACCTAAGAGAGAATTTTTAAGTGCCAATTTCCTGCTGTCACTAAATCAGCCAGTTACAAATGAGGGGAAGCAATGGCAAGTCACACTTGACGCTAATATTATTGACGAGAATGGAGTTTTATGGAATACATTAGGGCCAAAGAAGTATGTTTTAGTCTTGTCAATGCCAATTTTAAGTATATGACATCTTTCTTTTCATTTTACTTTTAATTTATTTGCAGCACTCTTATTGTTCGTGTGCCAGCAGAGAATTCAATGAACACAATGGGATTTAAGAAGTAGTAATGATGATATCCGGAACCTGAGGCCGTCTTAATTCACGTTTCGTGTTTCGCAACAACTTTTCACAATTCTGTAATGAAAAATAAGTTTAAGGAAAATAAAGTATAAGATATTTAAACGATGAAGTAAGGGGCTGTTCACTTATTACATAACGCGAAAAAATGACTTCTTAGACCCCCCCCCCCCCCTCGTAACAAAATTTGTATGAAAAAAAAATTTCCTTGTTTGAACCGTAACAAAATCTTAGACCCCCCCTCCCCCTAAAAGCGTTACGTAATAAGTGAATGGCCCCTAAGAAGTTCTGTGAATTTTCAGCTAGGATTTGAGTTTAATCCTTTTGATTTAAAATTAATCCGAAGAGATTAAGGAGCTAATCTGACACAAAGTTTCTTACATCAAGCAGCACGAGTGTTTCAAGAGTTCCGATTACATCACGATTTTGTGCATTAAGATTGTTCAATTCAGCCAAGAAGATGTTAAATAATTCTCGAATTTCATTAATTGAATTGTCAATGTCTGCAAACTGTCCAGTCCTTTGAAAAGTTTCAATCTCAATTTTAATCGATTCCGTAAAATTTCTCACTCGCTGTTCCATTTGAGCAGGATTAAAACTTTGCGACGGTTGATTTCTACCCATTCTCGCAAGTTCAGCAGTTAAAGATTCAATTTTTTGCTCGTAAAATTCTTCTCGTTCCTGCTGAGCACTCATCATTTGTCTGTTGGTCTTGATTCTATCGAAACAATCGTGAAGTTTTTCTTTAAGTTCTTCAATCTCATGTAAATATTGCATAGCTGCATCTTGATAGTATCCAATATCTTCTTCATCATTCTTGAACATTTTATCGAATGAGTCGTCCATGATGGGTCACTTCTTATTTTTTGTGTATGTTACAGGAAATTTTGAGCAACAGGTGCTTGTTACGTGACTGCCGAAAATATTATGAAAGTGCTCGAAAAATTATAGAAAATTAAAAGCATCTGAGATTGATTTATTTTAATTATGATTTTTTTTCTTTATTTTTTTTATCAGATTTTTTACAGAAAAAAATTTGACTTTGTGCTTTTTATCCATTCAATGTTTCTTATCCATATCATCATCATTCCCGTAAATCTTTTTAAAATGACAAAAAATCTTAAATTTCATTATTTATTAAATTTTTCTCATAAATCGGATTTGAAACTTTCTTTTAAGGTATTTTCGTTTGTAAAATGGAAAACCTTTAGGAAAAATGGAAATTGATGATAAATATTATTAATTTATGTATGTATCATGTTATTGTAATTTGAAATAAATTGGATTTTTATGTCATTTTTTTGTTGTTATTTTCTTCTTCTCACCAGTTCTTTGTAAAGTTTGGGACTTGAGATTGATGTGAAACTTAAATTAACAGCTGAATTTTAAAATGTTTCAGAACCCATCAACAGCATAAATTATAAGGTTCTAGACGAGATTTTTCTATAAGCTCATAAGAAAGCAGAACTAATCACAGCATATAGCATGTACATTAAGGATTTTGTGCAGATCTGAATAGTCTTTAAGATGTGTGTTTGAAAAATCAAGGAAAATTTTAAATGCTATTGAAAATTTTGACTTTTGTATGGTTTTAATACAATTTAAGATAAATTGTAAGGGGCCATTCACTTATTACGTAACGCTTTTAGGGGGGGAGGGGGGTCTAAGATTTTGTTACGGTTCAAACAAGGAAATTTTTTTTCATACAAATTTTGTTACGAGGGGGGGGGGGGGGGGTCTAAAAAGTCATTTTTTCGCGTTACGTAATAAGTGAACAGCCCCTTTTTGAACAGAATTCTTATACTTTTGAAACTTTTGTATGGTTTTAGAAATCTTTAAAATGCAAGTCAAATTGATTCTACAGCATTCCACATCAATCTTCAATCCCATCGGTAATTTTTCTTTTTTAATATATTTTCATATCAAAAAGACAATCTTTCGAGATAGAGAGAAGGATAGATAGTATAGAGAGAGGAAAAAGTAGAAATAAATTCCTTAATATGTTCATTAAGTTAAAAATCTCTTGTGGCAAGAATATGTTAAAGCATCATCACATTGATTGGTAAATATTTCGCTGGTTAAACTGAACGTTGCGACTTCATAAAATCTTTTTTTTAAACTTTTTCAATATTTTAAATTTTTTCTCGTTTTCTTTTTAAGTTTAATTTATTTCATCCTTAATTTATGTACAAATTGTAAAATTTAAATTTTACGTTCATAAGTTCCCCGGCACAATGAAAAACAAAAAATGAAATAATATAAAAAAAAAATACTTCCTAAAAAGTCCTGAAATCTGATTTCAATGAAATTTTCTCTTCTTTAAAGTTTTATAACCATTAAAAAGTTTTCGATTTTAAATCGTGGTAACTTTCCATTATCATTATTTCCTATATCTAATTAAATTGATGGTTTTTGAAACAAAGAATCGAGAAAATAATTGAGGTTGATTTGGATCTGATTGATAAGATTGAAAATTATAACGGTGAAATAAAATTTAAAAAAATTCAATTTAGTCTTATTTTAAAATTTCAGGTGATAAATATTTTAATAAATTTTATAGCCAATAGCTGTGCTATAAATCAACAATTCTTGAAGTCAACAAAGCTTTTAAAACCGTTAAGAATATAAATTAACAAATGTTTGTTAAATTTGTAAAGTTCTTGTAAACATCTTATAATTAAGTTCGACTTTCAACCAAATCCAATCGACCCCAAAATCCCTCAATTCCAAAAAATTAATAAAAAAACTAAGAACAATTATTAAAATCTCTATCATTTATATAAAAAAAAAGACATCAAATACTCCATCTTTCATTTTTGTCGTAATCATTAACATTATCATTTTATATATTTCGTAAATAAGGAGGCAGGATTAACTACTTACTAGGAAGTTAATTAACATAATTCCCAGAGTAGTGTACAGCACACGATTTCTAGTAAATCTTCACAACTTTAGAACTTATTATAGATCATGAAGCTAGTTTTTTTTCCCTCAAAAATAATGTGGTACAGCCGTACGATTATGAAGCTTGAGTTTCCCGCAGTAAACTAACTTATAACAGGGAAAAAACAAAATGTAAATTGAATTAACAGAAAAATCTTTATCAAATGTTAATTTAAATGATATTGAGTTTGCACACGGTGGATTTTTTTTTAATGTTAATCTTCTATGTCACGTTATTAGCTATTGTTTTTAAGGTTTGAAGAGCATTTATTGATAGGAAGATAGTGTCGACTCTATAGCTCATATAGTATCACAAATCAACTTCAGTCAAATAATGCACTTCAAATCTCCATTTACGAGAACATTTAATCCTTGTTTCATTTTGTGTCATAGTAAATTTCGTTTTTTTTTTATGCCGGAATTTTTGGCCTCTGTAATTGACCCGAAATGTTCATAATTATAATTCATTAATTTTCTTTTGTAATAAAAAATCTTCGAATTGTTTCCATGTGAAATAAATGCAATTTTTCTTCAACTTACAAAAATATTTGCAGATATTCATTTTGTTTAATTAACGCACAATTGTGTCCACGTGTCGTTGGATTTTATCTAAGAATTTTTTAAAAAAAATTCATTTTGTTTTGAACCATTAAGTTTTTTTTTTGCACATAAGAATCCTAGTAATTTTTATGTAGATTTTTTTTTACAAGGATCACCCTTGTAACGTCTTCATTATACACATTATGACTCACACTTTCTTCGTCTTACTGTAAAACTTTATACACACTTAATACAAATCACGTCTGAAGTTTTCTTCTATCGTTGGATCAATAATATTGGCATTCTCAAACATCTGCAACTCTGTTGTATTCATTCCCAATTCTAAGAAATTGTCTACATTCAGCAAATCGCATACAGATCCGGATGAATAATCTAATTAGAAATAGGAAAAAATAATTTCATACATCAAATGCTCATCACATTTGATTCATGTCTAAATATAAAATTTTAATTTCATACCTGAGAAAACAATTTCTGGTATGGCAGTCGTTGTTTGTGTAATTTGATGAGATGGTGACGATGTCATCATAAGAGGATTTTGGAGGGCTGGACTACTTGACGATATTAATTTTGAACTCGAATCATTTCCTAGACCACCTAACATAATATCATTGACACCACTATTATTATTGATTCCATTTGATAGTCCACCGTCTAATGGCGATGATGATCCCAATATAATTCGTAAATTGTCATAATTATTACCGGATAGCATTGTGTCGCTGCCTAATGGACTATGAGGACTTGATCCACCGTTATTACTTGACTGTCGATTGCTATTGTTGTTGGATGTCTGTTGATTCATATTGTTTGGTCGTGAATTCGGTCGAGATGCATTCGTTGGTGATTGATTGGTCCGATTCGGGCTATCATTGATAATTCCATTGTAGCTATCATTTAACTGTAAGGAAATTATGATTCGTATGAATCATTAATAATAGCTCAATTCAACCATAAAAATTACATACCTGGGTATAAGTTTGATCATTTGTAGAGTTGTTGTAATCATTCAGCGGGCTATCGACCTTCAGTTTGCGAAAAAAAATTCACAAAGTTAACAAGTGTGCGTGCATGGAAGAAAGTAGGAAAAGAGAAAAGAAGGTGCACGTGTTATAAACACGTGATTCACATTAATTAGTCGCTATTTTTTCTTCACAGACATAAAAATTGTTTGTCGCTTGGATTTTTATTATATTCTTCTTAAAACCTGTCAGCAACAGATGCATGCTTGGCTTCTGAATGAAAGTGAATTTGTTATGTTTCTTAAGCACATACATCTGTTGTTGACAACACATTCAAACAGAAGCAAAATAACACCAAATATGGAATAAATGAGAATAGTCGAAGCTATTTAAGAATGAAAAATAAATTTTATTGGCAACAAAGGAAGAAAATTTGCAAATCAAGTCCAAAAGCAAACAAGGAATAAAAATGCAATGAAATTGAGAAATGTGCACTAACGAGTAAGTAAAAAAACTACATAAAACTGATATTGGATTTTGTGTCATAGCATTCAGATTTTAATTATTTTACCGATCACCAGCGTAGATAAAAGCTAGAAAATATCAATTTTCAGATTTTTTGAGTCAAATTTTTTTTTGTCTTAAAACATTGCAAACTGATAAAAAAAATTATTCTCCTTTAATTTTGATCTTTTGAACTTGCAAAATGACTTTTAACGATTTTCAAAAATCCCTTTTATAAATCCAATAAGAATGAGTACCGCAAGTTCATTTTGAAAGCTCAAAAGCAGCCGTATTAATTTTCCCATAATTTTGATTTCAAAAACCATAAATAGAAGTCAAAAATATCTACCAACTAAGAGCAAAACTAAAGACTCGCATATCAAAGAACAAGAATAAAGGAAATATTTTTTTTTTTTAAAAAAAGAAATATAATGTTCATAAAAAAGTAGAAGAAAAAAAATGCAAGAAATTCTTTTGAATTTTTGATTTGTAAAAGATGTCGAACCTTTACTTCTGCGGATATCGTACAACCCGAATCGACCAAACTTTGTACAAGCGACGTCCAATCCTTTATTGTGAGCATCAGGAAAATTGAAAAAAAAGAAGAGAAGAAAAATACAATTTCACGTTTCGATAGCGAGAAAAAGAGAAGAAAAAGGAGGAAAAACAGTTTACGCGATCACCGCAAAATGTTTTGGATTAAAAATCTGCATACGCGGAACCGAATACGATGAGATGTGCAAAAACGAGAGGAAATAAATCTACGCGAGAATACAGTCAACACAATAACGCAATAAAGTGATAAATTACATTTATACAACATAAAATATGTACGATGATCGATGTTCCACCTTCGGATGGCACTAATAATGCACAGAAAAGATAATAATATAAATGTATGAATGGCACAAACATGTTACTTTTTGACAACATAATATCTTTAGCTCGCAGTCGTATGGTGGTAGCTATATAATTTCTAATCAACTATTTTGTATCTTGCGATTTGAATATTAATGACTGATGATAATAAATAAAAAATAGAGGAATTAATGAAATGATTTTTGTAATTTGCGAATTCTATAATAATTCTGTATACTCTTTTTTTTGTGGTTATTATTACTTGTTTTTATGTTATGTTTGGACACATTTAGCACACATAGGTAAGGTCGGCATTGTATACTTACTAATGAGAACTGTTCAAAATGTTGCTGAATCGTTGGATTAAGATAAAATGTGTCAGCTGATGAAAAACTTTCAAATTGTCTGTTGAGCAATCGTAATTTATGGATATCAAACATTAAAATTTGAGAATCACTACCATTTTTTTTTTTAAATCTAAATCTTACCCATTATTTCCGGTCATTTGTGGCGATGGACTACATGGAGCACTTGAATTTGATAAGTCAGGTATATGGTTGATTGGGCTACTTCCAGGACTTGGTCGATTGTTGGGACTACTTCGATAATTATTCTGCTGCTGTTATGAATAAATAATTAATTAGTATAAAGAGGATAATCAATAAATCTAAGCAACAGAACTACCTCAACGAAGCATACCTTCGATAAATTCCCTTGTGACAACGACAAGTTACCCGGCGACGCTGCATTGTTGCGATAACTCATCATTTTCTCTTGGGGTATTGAATTCGTGTAATAATGTAACGGTGATTGCTGTTGCTGACTGGTATTATCTATTGGTATTGGACTTGATTGCTGTTGTTGCTGTTGAGCAAAGTTTTGGTTATTGTTGGCTCCTTGTTGTTGCTGGATTATTAAACCCTTTTGAAATACAATGTCAATCAAATAGCTTTAATTGAAAAATTAATTATTGTCAAGTACCTGACTAGTTGAACCCTTATTGTTACTAAAATGCTTCGGGCTAAATTGATCGAGATTATTTCCCATTTGTTGTGAGTACATTTGATGTTGTTGATGCTGCTGCTGCTGCTGATGATGATGTTGTGTCATACTTGGTAAATGATTCGTGGTCGTTTGATTTGTGCTCGCCATTGAGTACGATTGATTCTAATTTATTTGAATATATATTGAATTAATACCAATTAATTAAAACTTAATTGGATAAATAGGACTCACTGTTGTTACAGCTATCAGTTCATGTGGATCTAGTGGATTTGAGAGAGGTGATTGTTGAAAATGCACTAACGTAAGATCCGGAAGAGACCCTGTCGAACTTCCAACGGGTATCTGGAGTAACTCATCATTTTGTGATGGATATATTCTGAGAATACAAAATCCCAAATCAATCTCCTAAATTGGACATAAAATGTAGCCTTATAAACTTACGGAATCCCAGGCAATCTCGAGACTGATCTTGACTTCATGTCCTGTTGTAAATTATTCATCACCATATGCTGTTGGGGAATATTTTGTTGTTGCATAAGTGTCTGTTGCGCTAATAATGTTGTCTGTTGCATGTTTTGCTGACTATGACTATGTTGCTGGTTCATTGAATGATTTTGATGCTGATGATGAAGATTCTTCATGCTGTTACTTTGACTACTTGATAGCCGTTTCTGAGCGCGCGGACTTAACATTAATGATTGAACATTATTGTGTATTTCCTATAAAGATTAATGTGTGGACATAAAAAATCCATTAAATAAAAATTTGTTTTTTTTTTCTTATACTTGAGCTTGTGTTAAGCTCTGATGAATGGCCGAATCTGATGATGTTCTCCTCCAACTCGACTCTTGTGGTGGACTTAAATAGGCATTGTTATTGCTGCCATACGGTGATGTGTCAATATTTCTTCGCGATCGCATTGGTCCACCGCCTACACTTCGTCCTAAAAAAAGGTATTCGATACATTGTCGATGAGAATAAAATATGTAGCAAGAGAAATTTTACCCCTCGATTCTCTCGTCACTTTATTTTCAGCGTTAGCATTTTTGGTAATATCGCTTGAATATCCTGACGAGAGCAAACCGGCTAAAGTTGTTGTATTCGGTTCGTCATTCTTTAAAAAAAAGGAAAGGAATAATCAAATTTCTATATTTTTTATGATCCTTTACATCTCTCAATCTCTTCTTATGTCTATTTTTCTTTCTACTCAGATAATTAAATTACAAGAAATAAATAAAATATATATAAAAAATATCTACAAGAAGAAATAAAGTCATGTCGCATTGCTTCGACTTATTAATTAGCTTAGTGCTTTTTTTAGATAACGTTATGTTCTTTCAGCTTTGCAATTTCTTTAATTGACAAAAAAAAATTAGGTTCAGAGGAAATGTTGCGAAAAAAACATCAAAGTAACGAATTTAATATCAAGCATGCATTAATAAAGATCCTTTCAGTTTTAAGCTTAATGCTTGGCCTCTGAGAGTTGAATGTGTGCATAGAGTTTTATCCCAGAGAATCTTAATTTTAAGGTTTTAGTCTAGACTTAAGAGTCTCTTACATTATTTACTGTTAAAAAGTCTCCAGGTGGAATAAGAACTCATTTATTATGAGCACAGAGGGACATCCTACATGCATAAAAATTATTCACACCCACTTCATGTCGAAAAACATAGAATTGTCATAAAATTAACCTAATCATCTAAATATTAAGGGTAAAGTTTATAACATTATTCAAGGCCATAAATGTTGACTTTTAGATAGGCTTTAACAACAAATATACATCTGAGGTTGAAGTGTCTATGAAAATAAAGTAAATTAGCCCTTCATATGCACAAAATCAATCTTAATTTGAATCTAATAAAGAGCCTAATCATCCGGTAAATCTGTTTGTGCTCTTCGACATATCCTTTTGATTTAATCTTTAGTACCTTCCATCATTATGCACTCTAATCTTCGCAACGGGATAGAAATTTATCAAGACTAAAAAGAAAAAGGTACACAGAGTTGGTGCTCAAGAGCAATCAATCCAGTTTTTTTTTTTGAATGAGCGTGGGATTTGATGTCAAATGTTAACATCGAAACTGACCATTAACGGATAAAAATTTCAATTATTAAGCATAGATTTCTGCCTCTAAGAAATTACAAAAGAGCAATAAATGACATTTTAAACGAAAGAAGGGCTTTGTCATCCCCGTTTGTATAATAAATTACTAATTATCAAAAAAACAAAAAAATCAATTATCCCATCAGTACAACAAAGAATTGCTAGAGTACTTAATGGATTACATGAAGAAATACCATGAGTCAGTTCTAATACATGTAAGAGTACGAAATATTGTGATTTGTCATGAACAAGCGACTTCGTCTAGATTTCAAGTACACAATTAAATGTGTAAATAAAACAATTTCTCAATGGATTTTGTTTGCCCATATGATTTACATGTGTTCAAGCTTCTTCCTCTTCCACTGCGTGAAAGCTTCTTGCCGTGCTCATTCGAATGTGAAATGATGGGGGATAGGCCGAAAAATTTTGTTTTTGAGCTTGACATTTTGTTCTCATGATTTGTTACACATTAGGTCTCAAGGAAATAGCATGAATAATTAAGTGATTCGTTCTATTAAAAGCTCGTGGACGAGAAGTCTACAAAAAAAAAGTCTACAATGTAAAAATAAATAATTTTACGGTCTGTGATTCATTTTGGCGCGTTTTAAAGCTGTGAATGTAAGATGTTTACTAATTCATGCTTATACTTCGTAGTATTGCTAGCTATGAAATTTATCAATGATTTATAGATTTAACTGTTTGGAGGATTGAAATTTTTATCATGGAATTTTCCATCAAATTTTAGGGAATTAAGGAAATTAATGTTGACATTTCTGGGAATCTCCCAAATTAATTTTTGAAACTCTTAGAATAACATATAAAATTATCCATGCTCAGAATATCTGAGCACTAATGAAGCACTAATTGATTCGCGTTCAAGCTCCAGCACTCGGTCCTCAAAATAACCATTCACGTGTTTCTATTTAAGGTCAATAAATTACGTTTGGATGAATTTGGGTATAAAGGAATCGCAAAAAGTAAAAATTAGTCATTAAACCGTAAGCACTTGATATCCATGAAGGTAATTGATTCGTGGAAAATTCTATTATTGTCGTTTAAGAAAGAATGTCGGTGAAAATAAACAAGGTTCTCTGAACGAGATTATCTTTAGTTGATTTTGGAGCTTAAAAGAAAATCATTTATTTATTGGAACTTACTCTAATTATCAGACTCAATTGCTTGAACCTATGTCAATTTTTTATTGTAATCAGCCACAAGTTGTTATCTTACAAGTAAGTTAGCTACGCAACTTATTTGGTTATCAACAATAGCAATGCGACTAAAAGGAGATTAAATTATTTGAGATGGGAATCCCTTAAATAAAAGCGTTAAATAATTAGTTCCAAAAATACTTAAAGTTGCAGGTGCAAATAAAGACACTTATTATTTCGTTTCTACTTTAATATTTTTTAATTAATACACACATCGATACTGATTTGTTTTTTGCTATAGTCTAAGTCTACCAAATACAAAATATGAAAATATTATTGTAAGTAAATAAGTTTGATGCAGAAAACAAAAAAATAAAAAAAGTTATTTGCATTCCTCTACGTATTATTATTCTACTTAATTAAAACGTCCACAAAAAAAAACTATTTTACGAATGAATTTTGGGTGGAAGAAACAAATACAGAAATAAAATCAGTAAGAAGAAAAAAATTGATCATTTAATTGTTTTTGTCATTTCTAGTGTTCCTCATACATTGAATGAATATAAAAAAAAAATGTGGGCAAAGTCGTTTGTTTTCTCATCTCCCTTACTCATTTATTTATTCACGAAAAAAAGGAAAGAAAACAGATTGACACAAACATAGGTCGTTGTTTTTCTTATCAGTTCACGTTTTGTAAGTATATAAGTGAAGCACGAGTGTTTTGTATTTTCCCGAAAAGCAAAATAACGAAAAACAATTTTTACGAATTTTCAAATTTACGAATGTTCATTTTTACGAAAATTTTTATGGTAAAAACTTATAGGATATAATTTGAATCTCAAAAAACCGTTGGATAAAATCAAATATTGAGACAGTTAAAAGTAATTTAATCATTTAAATTCGATTAGATATGATAAAATAATTATTAAAAGATGAAGGATTAATAGAACTGAAAAAAAGATTTGCATTTATTTAAATGTGAAATATTTTTTCTATAAAATTTTTATTTTGCTATAAAATTTTCTCATGGAATTACTCATAAAACAAGAAAAAATATTACACATTTAAATAAATGCAATTCTTTTTGTAGTTCTATTAATCCTTCATCTTTTAATAATTATTTTATCATATCTAATCGAATTTAAATGATTAAATTACTTTTAACTGTCTCAATATTTGATTTTATCCAACGGTTTTTTGAGATTCAAATTATATCCTATAAGTTTTTACCATAAAAATTTTCGTAAAAATGAACATTCGTAAATTTGAAAATTCGTAAAAATTGTTTTTCGTTATTTTGCTTTTCGGGAAAATACAAAACACTCGTGCTTCACTTATATACTTACAAAACGTGAACTGATAAGAAAAACAACGACCTATGTTTGTGTCAATCTGTTTTCTTCTGAAATTGATGTAAATTGTCTTTTAATGTTTGATTTAACCAACGGTTTTTTGAGATTCAAATTATATCCTATAAGTTTTTACCATAAAAATTTTCGTAAAAATGAACATTCGTAAATTTGTAATTCGTAATAACGGTTATTCGTTATTTTGCTTTTCGGGAAAATACAAAACACTCGTGAAGGAGTGTTTTGTATTTTCCCGAAAAGCAAAATAACGAAAAACAATTTTTACGAATTTTCAAATTTACGAATGTTCATTTTTACGAAAATTTTTATGGTAAAAACTTATAGGATATAATTTGAATCTCAAAAAACCGTTGGATAAAATCAAATATTGAGACAGTTAAAAGTAATTTAATCATTTAAATTCGATTAGATATGATAAAATAATTATTAAAAGATGAAGGATTAATAGAACTGAAAAAAAGATTTGCATTTATTTAAATGTGAAATATTTTTTCTATAAAATTTTTATTTTGCTATAAAATTTTCTCATGGAATTACTCATAAAACAAGAAAAAATATTACACATTTAAATAAATGCAATTCTTTTTGTAGTTCTATTAATCCTTCATCATTTAAATGATGAAATTGATGTAAATTGTCTTTTAATGTTTGATTTAACCAACGGTTTTTTGAGATTCAAATTATATCCTATAAGTTTTTACCATAAAAATTTTCGTAAAAATGAACATTCGTAAATTTGTAATTCGTAATAACGGTTATTCGTTATTTTGCTTTTCGGGAAAATACAAAACACTCGTGAAGCACATATTGAAGAATAAATATTTTTTCCATTCTCTTGACGAGAATACTTGCTTGCTTTGCATTACTTAGGGATGACGATTCATTAATTCATAGAAATTTACTTAAAATGCTCGCAATAAATACTTTTATTGGGTTTAGGTTTATGGTTAGTTTTAGGTGTTATTTTGTAAGTAAAGCAAGTCATCATTAACTAATGACTCATCATGTTTTGGTCTGTGTTTCTTTTTGAATAACAATGATGATTCGAATGCTACTGAATCTAATATTTTACTTTGAGAATCTAAACTTATAAATGCTAATGATTTCTTGAACTAATGTCTTTTATTAAATCTTAGTATTGATTGAAACTCAAACTCTCTAGGTTGAAATTTTATTTTGGAATCAAAAATGAGATAGATATTCATCATAATGAACAATTCTAGTAGAATTCAATCAAACAAAATGAAATGATTGTAAGAAAATATCACAATGAAGCCATTATGTTCTGTAATCTTTGTTAAGATTGTTTCTCTGTTTTTATTCAAGGTCATTGTTTTTTTTTTTTTGCTGTGTAGGTACATCAGTTTTTAAGTAATAAATTAACCAGATGTCACCAGCTGTAATCTTAATAATTAAGATAAGGAAAGTTAGCAATTATCCTATAAGATTTTGATAAGAAATTCGTGTGCAAATTGACATGACTCATTGGATAAATATTTTTCAGGAATAACTTGTCATACAGAACAATCATAAAAATTGAGAACAATATACAGTCTAAATAGACCTCAAATTAATCTTATCTCCTCATTGTGTCTAGTTTTTGTATTTTTTTAACCATTTAAAGCGTTTAAAATTCGGCTAATTATGAAGCTAATCATACAACAGGGTTAGCTTATTTATTTTCAGGAATGCGTTTCAAAAAACCACAGCATAATTACAAACATAAAAAAGTTTTTTTAATGTGTTTTGTGAAAAAACAAAAACAACAAATTTTTCAAAATAAAAAAAATTATAAAATTATTACGAGAGAAAAAAGAGGCGCGTAATGGGTGAGTTGTGTTACTGTCTATTTATATTTATTTGGGCGGCATCACACCACTTTCGATGTTAAGTATATGGACTTATAAATAGAAAAAAAAGTACAACAAAACATCGATTCTAATTTTTTGCGACCGTGCAATAATGTGTACACATTATGCGCCATACTCTCATTGCTGCTTACACTTCTGAGAATGAAAATATGTCTCTTTTGTTATCTTAGGAAATAACTGAGCTAATAGTGTGCATTTCTCCTTACAAAAAATGATTTTCTTTTCATTTCGCTTTTATTACTCTATTCGCAAATCTCACTCTTAGCACGTGCCGCATGATAATCGACATTTTATTGTGTTTTGGTGTTTTTTTTTTGTTTTTTGTTGTATTTTTCTAGTCCATTAATGTGTGGTTAAATGTATTCATAACTACATTCTAATGACTGTGATTTATTCTTTTTCCTAAACTTTATTTTTGTTTATTCAACAAATGGACTTAATCGAAACATAAATAGAACTAATTTTTGTCAGAGGGATCATCAACTTTTAATGCTCAAATTGGGTCTTATCTTCTTAAATGAGCTTTGAAGTTTTAGGATACAAATTGTCACTGATTTCTACTTCTTAAAAATCATCACCTCGACATAGCATCTTTACACCCACAGATGTCTTTGCGAAACACCTTATTCAAACTTTTCAGCTCTTGGGGTAGGTTCTGAAAATTCAAATTGCACGTAGTTTCCTTGCTAGCTGTTTTTTACAATATGATAAAATATTCATGCTTCAATGGAAGATTTAATTTTTCAGACTGTTTGGTTCTTGCAGATTGCTTTTAACTTGATTTAATTTAATATTTAAGACAGGACTTGTTAATGTGAGAATTGGTTAACAAGATATTCAACAACCATTCTAAATGATATGAATTTGCGTAAGCTAGCTAAGTATAAATATTTTAAAAACAAGACCATTGGAAAGACAAGCAGTAAGCAAATGTTGAGTTTTTACATAAAAAATTGCTCTAGTCATTTTTAAACAATAATAATCAGTATTTTATTAGGAAATGTTAAAAAAAAGAAAATTATTGGCCATTCCTACAACGCTTATTTGTCATAATTTCTATTTAAGCAGCAGTAAAAGAAGGCTTATTGAAGATATTTATGGCCAAAAGTAACCTTAGAAACTGCATGTGTAAAAATAACGAGTTATTTACAGCTAGATTGGATCTTAAGTTTATCTATGGTGAAATTCATTCGAGCTAAAGATGGGTAAACCTTGAATATTAAGAGATCTAGAAGATCGTCAAAACCGGTCTAAGAATTCCGATATTTTTAGAAAATATTCTATTCGATGATATTAGTCACCTAGTTTTGCATTGGATATATTGTAAAAAAAATTTATTGGCATAATTACCAGTTAAAGATGCGGAAATTCAAAACCAACGACTTCATGTTGTTATCGGTAAGACGTTAAGGAATTAGAGATACAATAATAAAAGTAAAAACAAAAAGGATATACTGGGATAAACTTAGATCCAAATGTAAAGACATTTGTTTAAAAGATCAAACTACTGCTACATTTGACACATCAATCAATTGGTTTTTTTTTTAAAAAAAAACAGCCAAATGCAAAAAAAAATATTTCTGTCATTGAGACTCAAATTAAGTTTAAGACCAGAAGTAGAATTTATTTCCCAGTCTACTAAACATCAATAAACTTAAATGAAGAAGTAATTGTAATAATTTAAATCATGCTGAAGGATAGATAGGTAAGCAAGAATAAATCACAAGTCATGATGTATGTGTTCAAAGTTGCACTAAAGACTGTTTTAATAGTAATCATTAAGTGAGAAAAGAATTACAAACACACAGACATACACAAACGCAATAAAATAGTAATTATCTCTCCGTCAAAAAGAATGGCTTTGGGTTAACTAATGCAAGTGGATTAGGAATAAAGAAATGAAAAAAATATTGAAACTATTGAAAAAATATCTACTGAGTATATTAACCTTATTATCAAGATTGTTTGAATTGTTTGCATTATTAATTGGCGCATTAACATTTGGCAATGATCGCGATATAAATGCAGAAGTTGTTGCTATCAAATTCGTGTTACGCGGTGCTTGTGTCACCTATAAAAAGATATATATTTTTGTTGTTTTTTCATACTCGTACATACAGTCAAATAAATTGATGCTTAAGAACACACTTGTTAGTGCTGTTGAAAAAACTGTATAATTGAGAGATGAGCATTTTCCCGACATAAACATTTATATCAGCTTATAGCTTGCACACAATATCTTTTGCTTACTCAATGTCCTTCATACTAAAGAAATCAAGCATTCGAACATCTTTAGTATGCAGCAAGACATTTTAAGGTGATGTGCTGCTCGGTACATTTATTTCGTAGGTTCTTGTAAGAAACCTGTTTCATTTATATTCATTTATGCGTTATAATCTTCTACAGTAGAACAATGGATTAAATAAACTAAAACCAACTACATATTTGAACTCAGTAAAAAGGTCTAGTTCCATTTCGACTTAATTGAGGCTTAACCAACCTCAACAATTTTTATGTTATGAATCTTAAAGTAGACTCATGAAAAATAAAATAAAATCGATAAACGTCCTGACACAATGGATGAAAAATGATATTTTCGACTGTCAATATTCTTTTCTTACGATAGATGGTTGTATTGGCAGTTCTTTTTTTTTGGTGGTATCGATATGTCTTAAGAAATTCCCCTTTTTAAAATTGATGTTTTTATGAGTTCTTTTTTATCTAATTTGAAAATTGCAAACTGAATGCGACTGGTTTGAGCGAAAATTTTTATTATTTTAAGTTTGTCTGTTTTTACGAGTTATTTGGAATCAATTAGCAATTTAATAGATTTGATTAATAATTTGCAGAATTGGCAATGGATGAGTAATTTTTCGAAAAGTAACTTGTAGTTGCTGGCTTGCAAGTATTTAGTTATTAACTGTCGATTTTCTTTAAGTTCCCAATATTGGTACATCATTACTTAATGCTTGATGAATTCTTTATTCTTCCTCCTTTAGTGAATATATTTTATATGACCTTTCCTAACCTCACATTCAATTCTAAGCTGAACATTATGATGCCTAGAGCAGTATTTGAATTGATTTTAAGACATGTTAATGATCAATGAAACATTTAAGAAGTCAGTTTGATGTATAAGTTTAAATTTCGTATAGTTGTAAGGAACAGTATACACAGCCTACTAAAAAGTAAACGAAATTTGTGAAATAAACCAGAAAGTCATTAGAAAGACTCCGACAATTAGTCACAAAAATCATATCACGAAAATTAATTGAAAAATTCCGACAATAAACAATCGGTAGCTTTTGAAACTTTTCATTTATCATCAACTGTTTAAATTGTGGAATTTAAGTAAATATGTCAAAACATGCGCAGTCAACTAATGAAATTTTCACTCCTCTGGCACAATATTTTTAGCTAATAACAAACACGTGAATAATACAGACAATAACGATAAAAAAAATTCATGTATAATTATTATTTTTCTGTTTTTGGGTACTCTAACATATATTGATACAGTTTCAAGGTCTTCTCTTTTTCCTCTCCACACATTCCGCATAAATGTGTGCTAGCTACAAGCAATATCGAATAGATACAAAAGCCCAATAATTGATATTGATTGCTTCTCTCAAATTTTTGTTTTTCTGTGGATAGAAAAATACATAAAGAATTTTAATTTAAAGGTAAAGAAGCGAAGATGAGACAAGCTACACCAAAATGCGAATTGTGTTTAAGAGAGAACAGCTTATAAGCACCTGAACAAAGCCAATTCAAAAAGATATACTCGAGACTACCACAATCGTATTTTCCTTATTATGATGAATGTTAGTTGCTTAATTATAAATGTGTGGCATTTAAGTGCTAGAAAATTATGAGAATCAATAAGAATTTTTAATTCTTCACTTCTCGCGAGCTTCTTTGTTGTTCATTTGTTCCAAAGAATTGAGAATGACTCAGTACATTCGGCACACGGTGTTGTGTGTACTTCAATCTTCTTAATACAAATGATCCTTTCTAATGAATACAATATAATGGTTGGCTGTATAAATATTTCATTTCTTAAAGTTTGACTAGAATTCGGGTTCGTTAGGTGTGACAGCTAATGCAGGGGCACAGTCAGGAATTTATCGAAAAGCTTATAAGCTAAAGAAAGATTAGCAATCATGTTTCTCAATAAGTTCTGTGATTCAACTCAGATGCAATTGTATCATCATATCTGTCTATGAACAATCCTAGTACAGTTCTCAATTAAATCCAAAAGAGTAAGTAACGAAAATTATAAGAAAACATCCTAATAATTACATAATGTTGAAAGCTTCTCAACTTAGTCATTAAAATTGTTATTAAATAATGAAAAATTGATACGCCATTGGTGTCAAGTTGGATCGTCACTTCTTTCTAGACTGTTCTTTCTCAAGCTTTTTGTTCACAAAGAAACAAATGAGGTCCTTACGAATTTCTGTGCCACAAAAACTTCATTAAAATTTCATTCGACGTGATTTATGTGTGTTACCTTTTGTCTCAACATGAAGCAGCGAGTCAGTCTCATCCGTAAAGGACAGTGAGAACAAAATGTGAAAAAAATTAACAATTAAGCATGACGTTTAATTATTCTGCAATGCTGCCTCTATTTGCTTACTTCTCTCATTAAATATTTATCAATTTATTTTACGTTGTGTTGTTTTTTTTTTGTTGTCGGTGGTGATGCGTTGTACATCACATAATGAATGTGTGAGTTGTGTTCCTCAAACTTGAAGAAGTATGAAGATACAATGATATTCTTAAGCGCGCGAAGTTTTTTTTTGTCCGCATTTATTTTCACCATTTTTTTAAGATAAATAGAAGCTGTAGACAAATCGTCGTTCATTTTTCCTGTAAGAAATTCTTAGAGGATTTTGACATTCTTCATGAAGTTGAATGTTTGTCAGTAAGACTGCTAATCATTGATCCTCTTGAAAATAGATTTTTATGATATAGACACAAAGAAATTCTCCCAAAAGTAAAGTATTTCAGCACCAGAACAATGCTGTCTCTGCAATCTCTGGTTAAAATTTAATTGGTAGTCTTTAAATCACAAAAACTGCTTACTCATAAAGTATGAAGTATGAATCACACCAAAGATAAAACTCAGAGATCGAAGCCGATTTTTTCGGCTTAACTCAATTTTTGATTTTTTTGATAGAAAAAAGCCATTTAACACCCATTTTAAGTATTTAAATTGAACTTTACATGCTTTACTATGATTCTGTGTAATATTTTGTCAGCATGTAGCTATAGTGAGCTCAGAATTTCAATTTAGCCAATTTTAAGCCGAAATTTAAGCCGATCGGCTTATCATCGACTAAATTGAAATTCTGAGCTCACTATAGCTACAAGCTGACAAAATATTACACAGAATCATAGTAAAGCATGTAAAGTTCAATTTAAATACTTGAAATGGGTGTCAAATGGCTTTTTTCTATCAAAAAAATCAAAAATTGAGTTAAGCCGAAAAAATCGGCTTCGATCTCTGATAAAACTTCTACCTGAACTCGTGAAAAATAATTTATGAAGCTTTATTTTACGAGCTTATGATTGATGACACTTGAGCCTAGATTAACTGATAAAATCAGTGTCTTTAAAATTTCTTTTGTTGATCTGACTTTGCCGGTTAAGCTTTACTAACGTAGCATCTTTATATTGTTAATTTACTCATGGTTTATTTAGGCCCAAATTTAGATCAATGTCTTTACTACTACATTCCGGTGTCTGTAATTCAATCATTGATGATATTTTTCCGCATTTAACTTTTAATTTATCGATTTCTTAACAAGATCTATGGCGAATAATGTCAAATGAATGAAATGGACGGTGAAATTACAATAAAATTAAACTTTCACATTTGTTGCTGCACACGAACTGATTGCAATTAGGATTGATCGATAAGATTTATTTTCATTAGAAAATTTGATATTTAAATGGTTAGATTCCGTGACAATTCTTTACACGTATCATGTTGAACCAGTCGTATTTGAAATTTTCGATCCATTCATAAGAAACGTTTGAAGTATCCATGTGTCAGGAGTTCTTAAATTTTCATGAGATTTCCTTTAATTCAACAAGTATTTATCTGATTCATGGGTTTTTAGAGCCATTTGAAAGCTCACATATACAGTTTTTAGGATGATTGTCATTAAGAACGGCACCAAAAATTTTTTATTGTGAAATTTTAATTTATCACCAAAGTATATGAGTACGGAAAGTCGTGTCCTTTGATTAAAACCCTATTCATGAAAATTTAACGCGAAATTTTGGAAAGTCAACCTTGAAAAAAATAAAGAAAATCTAGAAAATTCGAAAAATTTGTCAAAGAAATTTATACCGCGTTTCCAATACAAAAAATATTTTGTTCACATTTCAAAAATGTATAAATCGTACACAACCTAAGGCGCGTGTATAAATAAGTTGGAAGTTCTTGTTTTTTATTTTCTTTTCTTTCCCGAATAATAATAATACGAATTGTATAGAAACGTTAGAAAGTAAACAGAAAGAGATTCTTTTTGACTTGTTGCTGCTCCGCACATTTTTTTTTTATAAATGTGGATATACCTTCCGATAAAGTTGCTGCAATTCAACGAAAGGGAGTACAGCACATATACATTATTTTGGTGATATTGATAAGACATTTTCTTTTTTTTTTCGCTCGCATTTATACATACGTGTATGTATGTTATCAAGACAACCTAGCACAAAAAAAACGATATGGAAGTATGCGAGCCGCAGTGATTAAAAAATTACGTATTTTAATAGCGTCACTTTTTTATTTCTCATCTCTTAATCTCCTGATTAGAATAATTAGTGTCCTCATTTGTGTGTGCTTATTGTCACAATGTATACAGTGTGCAGCACACAGAAATTTCCATTTCTTATTGGAATTTGAATATGAAATGAAAATTTTTGTGCTACTGTTGCTGCTGCGCTTAAAATTATACACAAGCTTTCCGAATTGCATTTCTTTTTTTTTTTCATTTTTTTGTGTGTGCCTGCCTGCCTCTCGATACACGAGAGCGAAATTTTTCATTTTTCATACAATAAGAAAATTCCTATCTTGTTCTGCATTAATTCTTCACGCACATTAGCTGATTTAATAAATAATATTGATTATAGTTGCAAGTTTATATACACAAAAGACGAGAATTTGTTTTCATATACAAATGTCAGTTTCGCTACAACGCAAATTCTCAGATCTCAGATGGGAATTATTTTTTTTCTCTCATTCTTCGTATTTCTGGATTAGGATTTTTTCTTTCTTTTTTGATTTAAAATAGCACAAATTAGATAATGAAGATTCTACCTTTGATGACACTTCTGATACTTCACGCATAATACGCTCAAATTCGGCATTTCCTTCTGCTTCCTTTTGATTTAATAGCGCTATTTTTTCCGAAAATTTTCGAGGATTTGCCATCTTTTTCCTCTACTCTTATATCTCACATATATAACTTGATTTTTTTTTTATTTTTTTCCTATTGAAAAAAAAAATTCTTGTCACTTTTAATACAACTAATTGTGATTGTTACACTTTTTTATATACATGAATCTATCTAATATCTATTAATGTCTAACATGGAATAAAATTTTTACACGATAACTTCCGTCAACTTTTTTTAATTAAATTTTTTCAAATGATACTTCTGTTTTCTTATGAGACTTCATTGAAAATAAAAAGTCTCCGATTGAAAAACTTATTGGAAGTACTGTGGAAGCTTGCGCGTCTACGTAAAAACTACTTGATTCTTATTGGAAATAAGCACATAAATTCTATAATCATTGCTTATCTTCGATGATTGTACATAAAATCAAGCTTCTTATATTTAATTCTCAATATAAATCAGTTCCAATATAAATCGGCTTCTATGGCATCCATATTAGTCCGTATTAACCATAAATACCTTAGCATGACAGCACAGACATAACAGACACGCACAGCACCGAATCAAATCAGATGTTGTTTTCCAATTGTATACAAAACAATTTCTTCTTTATTTTTTTATTTCTTCATTCATCTCAAAAATCCAATGATTTATTTCCGCTGCTTGAAGAACAGCTCATAGAAATTTCATTTGACTCATTTTCCTGTAATTCAGGTGGTAAATGTAGCTTTTCGATTACAAATCTATGCGATTTAAGTTTGAATGCTAAATCAAATGCTTCTGGCTTGTGAGACTGTAAGGCGGCTATAGTTTGGAGCTTCTTAATGTGCAACAATCCATGATATTGCTTAAACACAGCATTTGTTTGCTTCTCAATGTTATTAAATGATTCTAGATTTATGTTGCAGTCAATAAGGCGTCTTATTCTATAGATTAATGTTTCATCAATTTGATTGATAAGGTGTAAAGGCATCGTCATGTAGCAAACAACATTATTGTAACGAGTGATGGACTTAAGATGAGCAAGAAATTTGAGCAGCTGAGTACTAAAATCATCTGAATACCACAGTGGAGATCCAACAGAATTTATACAGATTCTGAGCAAGTTGTTTGAATTTTCCTTAACAATTTTATCTAAATCCTCAATCACACATTCAAATGCACTTCTTGGATATTGTTGCTGAAGATCTTTAAATGTAAAAAATTTGATATTTTCATAACTTTCTATTATTTCTTTTGGATACTTCTTATTAAGATCATAAGTCACTCCAATTTGGTGTCCTCTTTGAACGGAATCGATTTGTGGACAGTCTTGGTATCTAAATGCTATTCTCAAATCATTACTTGATGTCTCTGCTTGAGCTTGTCTCTGATTCTCATGTGGCATCGGTATGTCCTTCATCTAAGATGATAAAGATTAATTTATTTGTTATTACATTACATTTCTACAGACAATAATGCTCATTTTCATGAAAAAGTATGATCTTAAACATTAACTGGTATGACTTGCAATCAACCAGAGAGATTCATGATTCAGCGAAAGTTCCGTTAATTTTTGATTTTACTTCTCGTCTAACCGACAACTTTTATGCCAAAGTTGTAAATCATTCCAATGATCTATTTTCTTCATTAGGGCCAATACAATAAAGACTCACTGGGTTTTCGAGTAAAACATAAACTACCGAAACGTTTACATTAAGTCCTCACAATTTATTAACTAGTTAATTTTTTTTTCTTCTATTTTATGTTATCTTACTCTTATTTAAACAAATATTGGTCTTTATTGTAACTTTTATTTTTTTTGGCCAAACTTCATTGCATTACTAGTTCTCTTCTTTCTATTACTTTTCAATTCTACTCATAACAAAATTTGATTTAAAACCGTTAGGTTAATATCAAGATAATTTTCTTATTAAAATAAAGGATTGTTATTATTATTATTCATGAAAAAAGTTACATATTTTGTAACTGGAATGGCTTTTACGAATTAAACTTACGATTTTCATGGGATCTTCATCCAGCGATGCAAAATAAATTTGGTGCTTATGATGAAAACCGTCACCAAGATACAGTTTTGTGATAACATCAGAGTATCTTCCAAATTTGTCTTCTCCTATTAAATATACAAAATTAAATCTTAGAAATCAATAAATAAATTAATCCTTACCTATCATTATTATTGAGTTTAACTCAATTCCACCACCGATCACAAAATCAAAGGAATCACTTCCAGACGAGCAAATTTGATGATTTCTTATTGATGTTTTAATGCCAGCAATTTCTGGTAAGTTTTCCTTCTTCAGCTTAACGAAACTTGACATTTCTAATGTTGATATTTATGCTTTTATGTTGATAATCAAGAAATTTAGCAATTTGCTAGTAAGAAAGCTATTTTTTCGAGAATTTCCACGTTTTTGTTGAGACTTGTGCAAAAATTGATGTTTTTCAACAACCTATCAGTTTATTAAAGGTAGGCACTAATTATTTATTTAATTTATTGTGCGTTAAGCTTGATAAATTACTTAATTAAGATATTTGTTGATAAAAATTTTAATATTTCTTAGATCGCTTGATTTGAATTTTTTTCCACAGTTAAGGTTACCAGAATTTGAATTTTTTAAAACCGTTACAGTCGACATTAATAAGAGAGGTTTTAAAATTTATATTATTAAAATGTAAATTAGGCTTCCTCAATAAGCTTTAAAGAATAAAAAACTTTGAAAAAAGAAATTTCTATTAATCATCAAAACTTAATTTTAAAAGCTTTTAAATTGCTTAATAATCTAAATTTAATCTTTGCAAAGCACAAAGTCCCTTAGCATTTTAATTCAGACCTCAGCTTAGTTCCATTCAGCTAGTTGAAAATAAAATTTTAATTGATTTCTAATTTTGAACAAAAGTTTATAAGTTTAGAGCTTAAAATCTCAAAAAAAAAGGTCCATTTTGAATGCTATAAGTTCAATCAGCGTATTTTGACCTCAAACTTTATCTTACTCTGGAAAGATCTTCATACATATCTTTAACGTCCTCACATGCATCATCTTTCCTCCCTTTTCTTATCTATCCCTACTCGTTGCTCACACAATTTTCGAAATCAATTATCAAATGAGTGGGGATAGACAAATCAACGAATTGATGATAAGCTTTGCACGAGTGTGCGCATTATGCAAATGCCATTTTCGAATAAGAAGAACAAATAAGATTTTATTTTCTTCAACATTAGTATCAAATGGTAAGGCACATAAAGAGGATGAAAATTTTTTGTCTTCAATTTTCTAAAAATTTACGTAAAATTCACATGGATGAAATGGAATCGAGGGAGTGAGATTATTCATTTGAGAATCAAGAGAGTACTTGACTTGAGGATCACTTCAAAACTTTAGAAAATTTGTCATTTGAAGTAACTCATTGTCGTTTTGAGAGCTGTAGACGTTCCTTGATATGATGTGTTTATAGGTTAAGATTGCATAAGGATGGTCAGGTGTAATTGAATGAATTAAAAAATAAGATCCAGTTCCTTCTTTGATTCCATATCAAAACTTATACAATTAATAATTTAGAACTTCCAAAAATGCCCTTAAGTCGATTCAGCTCTTGTCTTTTCTAAATTGTATGCAATTTAATGGCAAGTGACATAATCCATAAATGACAAGACACATTTCCTCAATTCAATTCTTCCACATCATCATCATCATCGTCGTAACTTCAAGATCAACTTCATGTATGCATTTTCCATTTTACTATTTATTTCATAAAATTTACACAAGATGCTATGAAAACTTTCAAACATTGTACAGGAAAGTGGAAGTTTATTCATATTATCTTCTGATTGTATACCGTAATTGTTGATAGAATGGGAGATATGAAATGAAATCAAGGCAATTGTAACTGATGAAAATGAATATGTACAAATGAAAAGTATAAAAAGTTTTCATGGAGTAGAAAAGTAAGAAGAGAAAGTTTTGTTGATAAACTCGATGAAAATTAAAAGGTAAAATCATTTGCAGATGCATCAAAATGTTAATTTTCAGCATCTAAAATATTCAGTTTATAGTTTCCTCTTAAAGATGCTGTAAAACATTGACAAATTTAGCTAAGCTTGAATTTTGAGCGATAAATTTTTTTGTTTTTTTTTATTCACCACTTCGAAAGTTTAATACTCAATATCACGCTTGATTTACTGATTCAATGGACATGAATAATGTCATATAATAGCTTATCAGTGAGCAAAGCAATTAAGATAGCAATCATCTCAATCAAATTTATTAATCATGTAAAGTTGCATTAAAATTAAAAATCATAGTTTATTTAATGATTCTTGTCACATATCAACTTAAATAAAACCATTTACACAAGCTGGGGAAGCAAACACTTCAAGTCACTCTCAATAAAAACAATTATCTCTTTAAATTCCAAAATGGCAATTTGAGTCATTAAGTCAATGCCATAATGCTGACAATTGTCTCAACATGTGAAAGAAGACCGAGAGTGTCTGTATAAAAATAATGAAGAAAGGTCAGGTGATGGGGTTAATGGAATAAATGTATTGTAAGGAGAAAAAGAAAGAAAGGCACAATTGTCTGGACAAAATAAAGAGCTTTAATTGTTGGTTGCACTCAATTCCTACAACACTAAAGCTTTAATGAAGCTCTTCTTTTCGTCTTTTTGACACTTTTGTGTTTTCCTCTTTCAGATAGCATTATGCCATTGTAGCTACAACTTTTTGTTTATATATTTACTCATGAACGTGACTTTTATGATATTTTGTAACTTTTCTAACTTACAGAGTCAAGAATTTTTAATAAACGTTCCTCATCTCTCTTTTTTGTGTTATTGTGTTTTGAGGAAGCTGTGGATGAACATACAAGTTGGTTAATTTTTTTGAGGGTGAAACGTACTTTTGTAGTTTTTGATGTACCTTTTTATAAAAAGAATTGCGATTTTGTGCTTATTTTATATATTTTTTTTTTTTGTAAGTTTCATCTTATTCACATTTATCTGACTCGTAATTTAACATACCAAAATTTCACATCAGGGAAGTTTAAAATTGAAAATTAAAACATCCGATAAAATTTTAATTCAAAAACAAATTTGATTTACGGGTAAATCCCTGAATCTCGTCTTTGTTCTTTAATTAAATTTCCCCCAAAAATTAAAAAAGAATTTTCAAGTTTAAAACATTAATGCTTTGCGATTTACATTACACAATTACATCCAAGCATAAATGTGATTTTTTGTGTCCGTCTAGGGAGAAATTTAGTAAGCAAACCTTAGCGTATGGTGACAAATTTAATTGCATCGCATGAAAATTGTTTATGCTGCTGTTCAGACTCTTTTATTGTTTTAAACATAGAAATATGCTTTGTTATGTTGGCGGAGGGGAAGTTTGTGTTTCCCATCATGACAGCAAGTTATTTAATACTTTTTCTCCTCTTCTTCTTTTTCATTTTATTATGTTTGTTGTATAATTTTTAATATTGGTCGATTTGGGTCTTTTTTATAGTTTTTTTTGAGGTTAAGTTTTTTTTAACCTCACGTAAAACATTCTGTAATAACTGACGAGAAAGAATGCTAGTTCTATTGTACTGTGAAGTATCTCTCGACATCAACTGCCTGCAGTAAGTGTCAGCAATGTTAAATGTAATTTTTGACGCTACTTTAAAATGTTTTGCTGTGAGAATCATCCAGAATGATAAATAGTGCAAAAGAAAATATTTTTCATGAATTCCATTCCTCGTGTCTTCTTAACAAATATTCAAAATATTTAAATTTATGCTGTAATGTTGAGTAATTTACAATAACAGACATTTATTAGAAATTAACATTCAATATCCGTTCAATAAAATTAACAAATTGTTTTCAGGCAATCAAAATTTAAATTTTTGCATCCGATCGAGTTTCAATCTATGAATAAATTTGCAACATTTTGTAAATTTAAAGCATGATGAAATTCAGGAACCCGGAAAATGTTTTTTTAACTCTAATTTTTCATGACAACTACAAGGCCACAGGACAAACAAACCATCAGTCTAAAGTCAAATAAATAAAAATGTACACACAGTATCAGCGAGTTGATTACAGAGAATAAATGCTCGACAGCTGCTTATGATGTTATGGCGCATTTTTAAAAAAAAAATTCAAAAACAAATTTAAAGGTTTTCAAAAATTTTGAATTTTAATGATTTTTCTAAATTTTACCCCAACTTTCCCAAAGTGGTGCTTTAAACAATTCGTCAAACCAACAAACAAAAAATTCATTGCAGAATAAAAATTTCAATGATGAAGAGAGAAAGTAAATGAAAACGAGTCGAGTGCGTGGCGGTGAAAAAAAAAATCGGTGTATTCGCATAGCATTTGAATGCATGCCAGCATAAAACTCCTCACAATAACGATACGGCACACACATAATGTAAAAGTCTGGCAAACACAAAAAAAAATTGTTTGCTTTACAAAAAAAAGTATTTGCTTCACGATTGCCATAGGAGTGGATTTGCATATTAGGAATAATACGAATTCATGTGTATATATCTATTCATGGGAATATTGCAGGGTGTGGGGTGAGCGAGAGAAAATAATAAAAAAACGTTCACATATAAATACATATCATGAGTTTTTCATCAACATAATGCAGCATGCTGCACAAAAACGCTATGTAAAATTGTGTTAAAAGGATGCTATAACCTTTTACGTGATCTATATTTATGTTTTTTTTTTTTTCGGGGATGAAAAATATCGCTTAATATGAATTTATTTAATCATTTAATAAACTACCACTGATTTTGTTTATACTATTTTTATTGATTAAAATTGAATACATAGTGAGTGCGTGGATATTTTGGGGGTTCTTTTGTCCAGAAATTTTTGAAATTTTAACGGTTTTCAAATCGTTCAACTATCATTTCAAATCATTATGAGCATTAAATTAAGTGTTTAACAAAAATTCATCAAAAGCATAATTAGTGACGAATGTGCGTTACCTCCAATGATGATAAATAAAAATCCGCAATATTTATACACATGCTGAAGGACTCATTGCCAAATAAATGTACAAACATATCGGGATGCTTATCGATTTTGTCTATATGCGTTGTTGAGTTTATAAATCATGATACTCAAACATCATATGTACACATATATGAATGTATGTACATGGATTTGCTTTGTATATCAAAGAGCACTTTTTTATATGTTGATTTGCGATTGATTTCCGTTTTTCATTGCGATATGCATGCTTCATTTAAATTTTTTTCCTTGCTTTTTTTAGAAACGAAACACAGAAATAAATCGGATTTTCGACACATCATTTAATGTGTAGTAGGAG